CCATAAGCCTGGAATTAAAAAACATAGCAACTCGGGAACTTAAATGAAAAGTATAAGGAAATTCAATCTACGACTGGACAATATTTGTACTGATGAAGCATAGGTTGTGAGTGGCATAACTAATGGGGGCTGTACAGCTTTTTAAATTTATCTAAGAAACCTGTTCTAATAACCACTGCATGACGCAGTGGGAGGCAAATGCTGCAAAAATATTATCCCTCATTTATAAGATTCCTCTTGATGAGTAGTTGAAGTCATTAAGTTCATACAATCTCGGACACTGAATAATCATTTATTAAAATACTACATGATGGCATGTAAAGTGTACATGCATCTGTTCTTTTACGTATGAAGTCAGATGGTTATTTTGAGGAAAAATATTAGCCTGTAATTTTGAGCTAAAGTATGAGATGTGTGTTGTCTTTCTGAACAGAAGTTAGAATTGAAAAGTTGATTATTTAATAGAAATTGGCTGCTTTAAATTGCCTATTTAAGAGACATTTTTATAAATTGACTTCAGGAAAACAAGTAAATGAGTTAATTGCTCACGAAAAAATTCTTGCTTTCAGGAAAATGATAGAATTTTGAACAATTTGTGTGCCCTCTAATGACTTTGATTGCTTCTCAACAATAAAAGGTTTTTTAAAAGAGAAAGGGTTTGAAACAGGGAAGACATTTATTGAAGAAATTGTTCATCACCTGAAAGGTTTCCGTGAAACTTTTATTTAGTATTTTCCAAATGAACAGCAGATTAAATATCAAAATGAATTGTGGATTAAAAACCCGCTTATTTGAGTTTAGATAGCATCCAGAGTATGGATTATTAGAGGTGTTAAAGCAATATGAATCAGCATAATATTCATAAATTTACAGGACTAGTTTCGAAGGTTTAAACATAGAAACTACTACTTCAGTTGAAGAAGTGCAAAATGCAGTTATGGACTTCTTCAGCTAAAGGAAGTTTGTTTAAACCTAAAATAGTCCTGCAGATTTACAAATACAATCAAAAGTCGTTAATCCGGACTCGTCAGGACTTCGGCGATTCCGGATTATCGATTTTTCCGGATTATAGATCATCAGTTTAAACCTGGTAAGATGGCATACAGAAATTATAAAATTAAAAATATGAAACCGTAATTTACGAAATAAAGAACAACTATGATCTAAAGGGTATCAAAATTTAGGAAAAAAAAAAAAGCTTAATATTTATTTGTTTATTTTATTAAACATTTCTTTCAATGTAAGTTGTTTAAGTTGCTTCGTTTTATGTGATAATACTTTCTCTTTAATTCTATAAACAGACATAATTTCTTGTTCAGTTACAAAGTTCCGCTGTTCAAGTCCTATAATTGCTGTGTCGAGAATACCGACTAATTGTCAATCGAAATTTTTTCGTTTTCAATAACCTCTGTGCCACTTTCTTCACTATAGGAAGCAAATTATAATGACGAGGAATTTGATTTAACTCATATCAAAGATGGAATACATCAAGATGAAATACTACATTTAGTAAGGAATTATAAGTCAAATACAATGAAAACATCTGTCCTGAAGATAAGGATAGTGCTGACAGATCAACTTCCAATTCATCGCGTGCCGCAGCGTTCCCCCCGCCGCAGAGCAGCGTGAAATTGATAAACAAATTTCGGTTTTGTTTAATGGACTTCGACACATACTTTCGCTTTGTAGATCCTTTACATATTAGTAAATATATATCGGAAATTCTATTTGACATAATCGAAAGTTCAAGCTTACTTTTATAAAATTGCTCTAACAGTCTGCAAAAAATAATAAGCCGGATACAAATCAAAGATTAAGGAACAATGCAATATGCAACTATTATTTAGATAATTTTAGCTTAGTTTATACCGTCCGTTATACATTAAATGCGCATGCGTAAACGTATTTTGCGCATGCGCACACGCATATACGCAGCCGTAAAGGTCTAAGCTGTAAAGGTATTCGAAGCCGTAAAGGTAACGAGACGCATGCGCAGAAAGTTTGTAGCTTTGAGGTCCGGATTATAGATCATTCCGGTTTATGGGTGTCCGAATTAACGACTTTTGACTGTATTACGCTGATTTTTTGTTGTTTTAACACTGCCAAGAATCCATTTATTGTCAAAGCATCATTTTTTATTTCTTACTGAAATAACATCTGATTCATCATTGCAAGAAAAATTTAAATTAATGTCATTAGTGATCTGGTGTAGTTTTTAAAAAAAATATCCTAACTTGTCAAAAAATTGTAGCGAGACTTTTACCATTTGCAACCGCATGAAATGGGGTTCTCAGCTGTATGTATCGACAAAAAATAAATACAGAACAGACTGATGCTAATATTAGGTATATTTGCGATAAAAAGAAGCAGTGCCATTCATCTCATTTGAATTAAAATTTAAAAGTTCTGTTTGAATATGTCATTTTAGGAGCTTTTGGTTTAATTTTGAAATTACTTTTTGAAACAAATTATATTATTTGAAATAATTGTCATTTTTATTGCAAATAATCTGTTTCTAGAATGTTTCATTAAAACCATAAGATTGAAGCTAGTCAACATGGACCTTATAAGAGATAGATCAACCCAGTGGGTGGGGCGCGCATCGCCCACATTTCGGCAAGAAAGAGTAGGGACGATCTGGTTTACTGTAACACTGATATGTAAAGGATCTAAAGTAAAGGATTTACTAATATGTAAAGGATCTACAAAGAGAAAGTATGTTTCAAAGTCCATTAAACAAAAAGTGGAATTGCTGCAAAAAAGGGATAAAGGCATATCCTTTGTTTATCCAAACTTTATTGTTTGTTTATCTAAACTTTGTACTTTTATTGTTTTTTTATTGTTTGTTTATCTAAACTTTAACACCGTGGCGGGCGTGCAATGAATTGCAAGTTGATCTGTCAGGACTATCCTTATCTTCATGGCAGATGTTTTTATTTTATTTGGCTTATAATTTCTTACTAAATGTAGTATTTCATCTCAATGTACTCCGTCTTTGATATGATTTAAATCAAATTCCTTGTCATTATAATTTGCTTCTGATAGTGAAGAAAGTGGCACAGAGGTTATTGAAAACGAAAAAATTTCGATTGATAAATTAGTCAGTATTCTTGACACAGCAATTCATGCAGATTCTTCATTATTTAATTTCTTTAAATATAATACAGGGCGATAATATTTGGTAACAACAATTTGCAAGGAGACACAGACATTTATAGTAAAACAGCACAAAATGCCGCTTCGAAACTAACAGCCTTTCTAGGCTACTGCCTCTTTGAGCTAATAATTTAAATTAACAGTAAATAGAAAAAATCTTATGCAGAACTTAAAAATAAATTTAAAAAATAATCGCTATAAGATACAAGCAAAATTAATTATTACGGTTAAATACAATTTTAATATTAGAATTAAATGTATAAAACTTTTTAAGGAATCAAAAGTGTTTATCACTGTGATGTATTATGAAATATAATTGAAATTAAATTCCTTTATAGAAATTGTGCTATAATACTCATCTGTAATTTTAAAATGCTGCACAATTTAGAATTTTAAACTAAACTTTCAAAAATTTGTTTTTAAATATATTAGTATTTTTTACTTATTTACACCAACAAAAAGCATAAAAATTGCAAGGGAAAATTACTTATTTGAAATTTTCTATTAGTTCAGATTTAAAATATTATTTTCTAAAAGAAGTAGTTACAAATTTTTTTACAGCATAGGAAAAGCTAAAAAAAATATCCAGCCCTGAAAGCATGCAATAGCTTTATAATTATTTGGAATGTTAATTATGCTTGATAAATATGCTGAATTTTTAAAAATCAATCTCGATTTCAAAAATAAAAATATGTAGAAATTCTAATTTGTGAAATGAGGCTCTAAAACCAGCTTTTCCTTGAAAATAATGCAATAGGCAACCACTGTTATATTTCTGCAAGTCGTCCCTACTCCTCCGGATGTGATCAAGGTGACAGACGGGAACGCCTCCGTCGAGGGAGAAAACTCATTTGGGTTAGTCTATTTCTTATAAGGTCCATGCTAGTCAAGGGTTCCACAATAAAAGTGCAGACGTAAAGGGTTGCACGTATCAAAAAGATTAAGAAATGCTGGTCTAGATTATCTGTTCACCATAACTTTTTGAATATTATATTTTTAAAAGAAGTAATGAATAATAATGGAAGTTGTTCTCTATATTTCTTTTATAAAATGATTAAATATTGCACCCACAATTCCAAAGCAGAATGTTAGGTTCTAAATGATATATGATACACAAATGGAGAAATTGTCTGTTTTATTATTTTTATATTCAATATATATTTTTATTGATTTATGGACTACAACATTTGCCAAATTAAAAAAGTAATTATTTATTATAGCATAACTTTGATTTTTCCTGCCCTTCCGATTTTTTTATAACTTTACCAGAGCATATTACACACTATTTGTTTCACTTGTTAATTTTTGTATTAATATAAAAGTTTAAATATCTAATTCCCATTGCTGAAAACTATAGTGTGGTACTGCCTAGTGGTACTGTCTAACACAATGGTCATATGTTATGAAGTTTTTCTGACACATGATCATTGGAAGCAGTGATGGGAAAGCAGTCTTCATTGATGATGATAAATGACATACTACACTTTTTTTGTGCAATAAATATGTCACATATATCTTTTATTGATGTTTTCATTTATATTGGGAGAGACTTTTTTTATGTCTGACTGTATGAAAAATGCTTTTAATACTGTTGTGTATGTTTTGTTATAATTTTTTTAATATGCTGGTAATTTAATGTAAAATAAATTCATATGCTTAATTATCTTAACCAAATTCTCAAAATTTTAATAAGATGATATTTTTTAAGATTAAAATTTCGACATATGTTTAAGTTTTAAATTATGAAGTACTTCTTTTTGTTTCAGCAATTTTGTGTTTTATTTTATAGTTTCTTTTCATCAATTGTATTAATATTTCCCTTTTTCTCCTTGCTGCTGAAACAGCCGATCAAGGTAATTTTGTTTTATTTTAAATTCATGGGAATTTCAGGAATGATGTTTGTTAATTTCCCTCTCCTTTTATCTAACCATACTTATTAGTGTTTCTTATTGTAAACGCTTGTTTTTAATCCTGTTACTTCTTTTGGGGGAACAATAACAAGAAAATATGTTCAAGAAAAACTGCTTTAAATTAATAACTTTTAAATAAGTTAAAATATATATTTGCATGTACTAACTCACTATCCTAATAATTAATTAATAAGTTATTTTTATCTGCATAGAACTGAATTTAATTAAATGTTTTGATTTTTCTGTTTGTTTTTAAACACACTCTTTATGCAGTGAGTTATTTATGTCATCCCAAATTATGTTGTAAAGTAAAAAAGTATTGTATAGATTTTTTGAAATATTTCAAAATTTAAGTATTTTAAATATTTTATATCAAGGAATTGTTACAATATTGATTATTATGTTACTGTCATTCGATTCAACTCCTGTTTAATTGCACTTTGCTTTATTAAAATAGCACTTATTCAAAACTATGAGAAATGAATCACTTGATCTCCAAAAAATAATTACTGCTAATTCTTAAAAGAATATACAGTACAAAGTCTGAAATCTAGACGTCTGTTATCCGAAATGATCTAAAATCTGAACCTCAAAACGAACAATAACATTTTTCTCCTAGGCTTTACGCATGCGCATTTAATTCCCCCCCCCCTCTGTGCATAATAAAACATCTGGAGAGTTACGATTCTTAATTTCCCTTCAACACTAAATAAAATACCTTGCTAATAAAGAAACAAACATTTTAGCATAAATTTGTACAATCAGTAATTTGGCTCCGTTGCTGCGTATCTGCTTTTTGCCACACATCTCATACCGAAATATTCCACATAGATACAATGTTTATCTGATGCCAGCCTGGTGAATCATTATTTATTATACTTTCCTTTCATCACCGCATGTTTATCAAAACATGACAACTTGAGTAGACTCACGTAGCAATGAATGAACAATTTTTTTATGTTAGTGATTGAATAATAAAGGAGTACAGTAAACTTTTATGTTGACATTACACTTGGCAATGATTACAGATTTAAGTTAAATGCGCTAAAAAATGTTGACGAGGAAAAATTTGCCAAAAATTTCTTTCCATATGCTAAAAATAGATTTTGTTGATCATACTCATAGACCCAAAGATTACATTTAGGGCTATTTGAATTAAGAATAACTGATTTGTTATTCACATAAACCCAGAACCAGCACTAGGGCTTGTATGGCCGCATGGAGTCACAGAATTTAGAACGAATTTAGAACCCAATAGAGACTGCATTATGCGGTAAGATATCTAGCATCGGCCCTCAATAAGTCTTAAGTATATGTGAGAATATATTTATTCAAAACTCTGATAAGTCTTAAGCATGTGTAAGAAATAGACATAAGTATAGTAAATAACTAAACTATTAAAATTCAGGCTTAATTGTCTCAGTGCACGATAGAAGCAAGATAAAATTTAAGGGAACAACTTGTGGTTAGTCGCCAAGCTCATGATGCATAGCCAAATATGTATAGTGAAACATAGCTAAATTTGATGATGATAGCCACTAATTTTAAAGGTTTTTGGATATTGCAAAACAAAGGTGAAATTTTCCAATTAACGGATTTTGTAAAGAAATGTGGAGAAGCGGTAATAAATGAAGATGATATAAAAGAAGTTTTTCTTTGTGATGAGAATGTTTCTTAACCTTTTACATGCCAAACAATGATGCGAAAGTAAAATAAACGTTTTTGTTGTGAAAAACCGATTTAAAACTCAAATGTAAGAATTATGAAAAAAGAAAAAAAATAAAATTAATTTTTTTTAATGAAATATAACATGTTCCATAACTGGAACATGGCGGTCAACAGTTTTTTTACATAATTTTTGTAAAACATGATTATCGACATTCTAATTCGAAGCTTCATTTTTGTCTGCACATTTTCAGCAAGTAAATTTGTCAACGTTATTCGGAAGTAACATAGATTAAGCAGAAAAATAAGAAGCCTACACCATTATAACCGCAAAGCTACTCCAACAAAATTTCTTAGGAGACGATATGAAGGCTTCCACAGAAAAAAGCTTTCATAATAAATTAAAACAAAAATTACATAGTTGATAAGCAAGAATTTATAAAAGAATTTTACATTAATTGTTAGCAGTTTATACTGAAACAAGGGAAAGAGTTGTAGAAGTAATTTCATCCTGTTAAAAAATATACCTTTACACGCCAATGTTCCCTTTCTGGAACATCCACATTTCTTACCTCATATTAAAAAATAATAATCATCTTTCTATGATAACTTACTGTCTATGCATAAAGTGATCCTTTTTAAGTATCCTCACTGGTTTTTAAAAGCATTTGTTGAATTTTTAATTTTATATGAATTTTTGAATTTTGCTCTTAGAAAAGTAGGAAGGTGAAATAATGAATTTTTTTTATCAAGATACTATTTCTTTTAGAAGCATTATATTGCTACTAAAAAATCAATCCATATTTACTCTTTATGTAATAATTTATACAAAGCAATATTAATAAAATTGTGTTTTTTATGAAATTTTAAATTTGATTTTCCATTTATGGAAAATTGGCGTGTAAAAGGTTAATCGTCAGTCAGTTAATAAACTGCAAAATCTATAGTATGGTTCTAGATACAGAAAATACCGCTACTGATAGTGAAGAAAGTGACAGAGAAGTTACTGAAAACGAGAAAATTTCGATTTACAAGTTAGTCAGAATTCTCGAAACAGCAGTTACAGGACTTCAACAATGTAACTAAACAAGAGATTATGTCCGTCTACAGAATTAAAGAGAAAGTATTAGCACAAAAAAATAAAGAAACTTAAACAACTTACATTAAAAGATTAATAAGGTAAACAAATAAATATTCAGCTTTTTTTGTAAATTTTGTTACCCTTTAGATCACAAATACTTCATTATTTCATAAATCATGATTTCATATTTTTAATTTTATAATTTTCTACATGCAATCTTACTAGATTTAAACTGATGATCTAATATCTGGAAATATCCCAAATCCGAAATCGCCGAAGTCCCAACGAATCCGGATTTCGGACTTTGTACTGCATTCTTTTACATATAGCCATAATGTGAATCATTTTTAAGCATGTAAGTTTTAATAATTCTTCCAATGTATTTGACAAAAGGTATTGCCTCTTCCAAAAGTGTAGCTAATTTTTGGCCATGTGCTTTTTCATTTTTCATATACCAAGCTGTCATTTAAAATTTTAGAGTCATCTAAAGCTTGCATTGAAAACCAAGTGAACTTGCTTGGAAGCTGCTGTTCACATCTTTTTTTTTTTTTTTTGCTGTAGTACTGTCTCTGTGCTCTCACTATAAAAAAAATAGGATTTATTTAAAAATTTCTGTATTTTCCAGTTCTTGAAATGTATTATATTATAAATGGTATTTTGAGGTAACTGTTGTATACGATTTGTGTTGACTTGTGGCATAAACCCATGTATGTTAATGGATGAGTAATCAGAAATCTGAACAGCATCTATTTATTTAACATTTATCATGCATACTTTGCTAACTATTGATAATAATTCCATGCAAACATCATAAACGGAAAGCTAATAAAATGCTATTGATAATTTGATACAATTCAAATAACAACAAAATCAGATGTTGCCACTTCTAGAAAGTTAATTGTACAGGGTAGAATCAAAAGAGTTATATATTCACTAAAGTATTTTGGAGGAAATGCTATAATTTTTCTTTTTTGGATTATATGTCTAAGCTGGTATTTTGCGTATTTTACTGTTTCATGCAATTTTATTACAGAAATTGCAGATTAATCCTGGTACAGAGTATAGTATTTTAATCAGCTTTCTGATCTTTGAATCGTTGATATCATAATAATGTAAAATGTGCTTAGTATAGCTGAAGTAACAGTTTTGAGAAAGTTTCATGTTTCCCATAAAAGTCTTTATGTAATTAAAAGAATAGTTTGCCTCTAATAATGATAGAGAAATATCATGAAAAAGTAATAAGCATGATGATGTAATAATTACTTTTATGTTTCGATTACTATGTATTTGTGTGCCTTAAATTAAGATACTTTATTTCTTTTTTGATTGTTTATGAGACTTCAGACTGTTTATGAGATTTGAGATTTCTTACTTGGGAAGAATAGTTTTTTATTCCATAAAGAAATTAGCTCTGGACGTTATAGGATAGTTCTAAAAAAGCTTTAGCATTTTAAATATTCTTTTTTTTTTTTTTTTTTTTTTTTTATTATAGCAAGAGGATAGAATACAGGATGTTTATAAATTATTTATCAGATACTTAACACAATTTTATGGCAAAATATGTTTTTTGGGAAAAAAAGTTATATGTTTTGCATTTTTTTTTTTTTTTTTTTTTTTATTATTATTAAACACCTTTAGCACATTTTATTTTCTTTATCTGTAAACTTCTAGGGTACCGTACTAAGTAGATATCATTGGTGTCCCCACTGGGAATCGCATAAAACCCAAACATTTGCCTGGTTTTTCATTACTGAGGAAATAATATCATCAGACAATCTTTTTAATGTGCTTGAGCTGTAACTTTCTGCTAGTTACAACCATTGTAGTCAAGTATTATTTTCCAGTAGTGTTGAAGAACACTGCATTTTGAAGTTATTGCATGAAAGTTAGTAAAGTGTGGACATGCTGAAATTGAAATTAAAAAAAAAATTAAGGCATTTTTAAAATTAAAAAAAAAATTTTTTTCACATTTTTAGTGCAATTTTAGTACACTTGAAATTGTAAAAGTTATCCAGGTGTTCGTATAGAGGTACGGATAGAAAAAAAAAAAGAAGCTTTCTTAATCAATAAATGTTAATGGCTTGACTTCTTTTTTCCGAAATATTTTTTTGATGACTAATTTATAGATATTCTTTATGTTATAATACAAGGTCTGTCTGGAAAGTAACGAAATGAAAAGGGGGAAAAATCGAGCTATATCATTACAAATATATAAAATTCTTCAAAGTATGCCTCTTGGGCATCCACATGCTTTTGCCTGCAATTTGCCCATATACAGTATGCATCCTGAATGCTTTGACAGGGACCTTGTTTAGAGCTTTTGTCACGGTGGTTTGGATCTCTTTAGTGGTTCCAAAATGGATTCTTTTCAGGGCAGTCATGATCCTCTTGAAAACGAGTCTGCCAAAGCCAGGTCAGTACTGTAGGGGGGGGCTTGGACAATGTTGCCACTCCTTGGCTGTTAACTTCCAGATGAGCAGAGCATTATTGCTTGGAGCATTGTGGTGCAACAGCCAAGTAGTAGCAATCTCCTGTTGAGTGCTGACGGTCCTTTTCTTAACCTTTTGAGCACTTCCATGTGGTATGTACAAGGCCAGATTTACGTATAAACTACACAAGCTATTATTGCTTAGAGTCCCCACTTTCTTGGGGCCCTCCCAAAAATTAAAATATAGTATAAATAGTAATAAAATATTATAATAGACTTAAAAGGGCCCCATATCTCAAATAGCTTAGGGCCTTATCAAGTCTAAATCTGGCTCTGGATAGGTGCAGACGACTGTCTGTCCTTAGGGTACAAATTCTTTGCGCATGATATCTTTGCCACAAAAAAAAAAAAAAAAAAAAAAAAAGAATGAGCTTGGTTTTCACTTTTTATTTGCTCATTTTTGTCTCTTAAAGACAAAGGGACCCTGTAAGTGCGCTATTCAAAAATATTCATCTTTGGGCTGTACTTGAATGCCCATGATTCATCGCCGTAATGACATAATCAACAAAATTAATTACTGTTTTGCACACATTCAAAAAGTTCCACTTTGATTGTCATTGAGTTGTTCTTTTGGTCGTCAGTCAACATTTTGGGGACCAACTTCGCATGGGCAAAATTTCATGAACAGTATTTCTGCACATTATTTTTGTGATACTATCATTCAAACAATCATTTCACAATAGGTATTTAAAAGACTGCAAGCACGACAGATATTTTCATCACTTTTACTGGTTGATAGTTGTCCAGAACAGTGGTCCTTCTCCATCTCTTTTTGCCCATTTTTAAATAACTTCAACCTGGAAACTTGAGAGACAGCAGAGTCCTCATAAGTTTCCTGAATCATTTGATTTGTGTTGGCAAGGCTTTTTTTTTTTTTCCAATTTAACTCAGAATTTGATTATGTAATATTGTTTGATAGGTTTCTCTATTACACTTTGTAACATAATCATTAAAAGGATGTTGGATGTTTATAGAAACAGGGAACCTAACACTCCCAGCCCTCAGAGCAGAATGAGTGGAAGTGTTGTGATGCTAAGAGTCCCTTACACTTAACTGGTTCTCATATGCTGCCACCTGGCAGAATGGTTGGAAAAGACCAAGTGCATTATTTTTTGGACAGACATTGTATACATACCATAGTATAAATTTTAAAGACAACATATGCTGAATATAAGAGTATGAATGGAATATGAAAGTGAATGAGAGGTAGTTTTTAAGACAACTAGCATAGTTTTTTGGGTATCATATTTTTCATTGAAAATGAAATGTAAATTTTTCCTCATTAAGAAGCGGTATATATTTTTAGACTACATGAATCTTTTTTTAAAATAAAAGGCAATAAATGAAAAATAAAACTCCTTTACTTACATTGTAGTAAATATGTATTTAATGTGCAGGGAAAAAGATAACTAATTATCTGGATTTTTCCATATTTCAGTTAATGCAGATATTAGGAATGCTACAAATGTAACTAGTGTACTAACTTCAAATACCATATATTAGAATATTAGATTTAAGAATACTATATGAATAGCAGCTAGCTGTTTTAGATTAACATCAGGATTTTGCAAAAATTAATGATTTGGAATTGAAGATTATTCTGAAAAAATCTAGTGTTTTGCAAATATTCCACAAGTTGTTCCACTCGTAGACAGATAACCTTCTTAAGCTTATATATGACCTTTTTAAAATATTTTGCAGAATATGATCACAGAACCCTCCGAATGTAAACATAAAACAGATATGTTTTTCTTACACTTTCTAATCAATAATAGTTTTAAGTATAGTTTTTAGTTTTTCTACTGCTTGCTGCTGATGCTGATTTTTGGGAGAGGCTGAGGAAGGGGAACTGGATTTACTTTGTTCTGTAGTAATATATAACACAATATGCCTTTGCTATTTTAAAGCTGATAATTTCATTTATTTGAAATTAAATATGAAAATATCAGATTTTTGAATAAATTAAATATCAGAACTTCCTTAACTTTTAATATAATTTTTATTTTTCTAGTTGTAATATATTGAGTAGTGGTTTTTGATTAAAATAATTCTTTCCTTATTATTACAACTTTCTGTAAGCAGTATTAAATTATTATTCGTTTGTCAAACAAAAATTAAATTACTTTCATTTTTACATCACACTTATAAAGTATTACTGGAAATATTATTATTATTAATTGCTTATAAAATCTTACAGAATACAATTAAATTATCTAATAAAAAGATAGATTTTATAATGAATAATGATATGAATTCTACAGTTGTCTAGTAATATATTACAGCATAAAAATAACCTTCTTAGTTACATATTGTATATTCTAATGTGTTACTATTGCATTGTTCTAAAAATTGTTACAGTATGCATAAGTATTACATTTATGTGCATAGGTATTAAATTTATATATATGTAAAATACCATTAATTCTCTGACCTTAATTCTCTAACTTTTGCATTAAAAAAACTGAAAATTAAATAAATGTTTTAGACCAAGCTATCATTTCTGTATTAGAATTCAAAGTTAATACTTCTACTTGATAAAATATTCAGGATTCATGCAACTAAGTGTTTCGAAAATAATAAATCTGTCGTATGATATGTTGTAATTTTTAAATGTGTAGCATGTTTTTCTTTTTGTTAATGTATGTATATAATGTTATGTTAATGATTCCTTAGTAGAAGTAGAAATTTTTTTAATTAAATCATTGTATCCTTTTTTCTTTCTACGCTGCTTATAGTCGACGCCGTTCTTCCGTTCTAAGGCAGGTAGATCTGAGTAGACTGTTTTATTTTGCCTTAATTTTTTATGCATGCAAATAATTTGTAGTTGCTTCATTTTATATTTCTTACACAAGAATAATTTTTTTAATGTTAATTTTGTCTCTATTAAGATAAGAGGAAGGCGTATTTACTTGATTTTTTTTATGTAAAGAGTATATAAATCAGTAAAAAGTTATTAAATAAATCATTCATTATGAAGCATTAAATGTTTGAATGTAATGAACTACTAATTTTGGAATCTTTTGCCTTCCTTGTGGGAGCTTTTATTCATCATCTTCATTTTATGCTCATACAATAATGAGTAGCATCAGTTCAAAATATATTTAAGGTTTTCTTTGAGTATAGCTTTTTAACATGTATAATAATTTTTTTCTGCATTATTTCTAGCTATCTCTCGGCATCTGCAAATATATGGCCTGATTGCAGCCCTCTTAAAGTTGTAATGTGCCTGCAAGCTCCCCTCTGGATAATCATTTACAATGCACTAGTCTTTTCTTTTACTTACATGTAGGCTTTCGATTTTCTTTTGTTGCTTTGCTGTATATTTTATTTTGCATGATTTAATAAATAATATATTTTTTTAATGTAGTTGTCATAATCTCATTTGACAAGATTTTTAGGTCATCTTTAAACCATAGTAAACAAAACGTAAACAAAAATTCAAAGGCCATGTACAATTTTTGATTTTAATGAAGGCCAAGTTTTAATCCTTTCAAAATTTAATTATATAAATATACAAGTAGTGCATTAACTTTTACGAATCACTTTATGAAGAAGATAAAAATGTACATTCTTCCATCCACCCTTTTGCTTTCTAATCTGCATGCAGTTTTAAGTAGATGAATGAAAGTAGCTTTAATAATTTTAATTTAAGAAAGTTATTTTCATGCTACTGTTTAAAGGCATCATTTAGTCTTCACTTTTGCAAAGGTGTGGCTTGCTTAGCAAATTTCAGAATTTTGATAAATTAGTATAACAAAAGTCATTTACTAATTCTATAAATCTCACATTATTTTAACTTTTGCTGTCTTTTTATTTTTGCACATTAGCATACATACTGTAACAAAACAGGTAATTAAATTATTAAACTGTGGGTAAAAACTGATGTTAGAGAACTTCCTGCTCAAGTCCCTTTTTCAATTAGTCAGGACAAATTGTGCTAACCATGCTAGCAGCCCAAAATGTGTCTGGGTGTTGATTATTATTAAATAGGATTATGGTATTGGTTAACAAATAAGGAATTAGTGTTTTCTGCATATCAGAAGGGGCATATTCAATTTCAGATTTCATGTAACTTAATATACAGATGTTAGATATGCTAGATATTTCATATTATTAAATATGAAAATCTACTAGGCATTTCATAAGATTATTTCATTTGGAAAAAAAAAAAAAAGTAAGTTGCCAGCTTTGACGTACATTGTTAAACTATTAAAAACTACACATTAAATTCAGTGTCAGAAGCATAAATAAATTGACTCTATTTTATGAAGTATTTAATGTATTTCTGAAAATGTAATTTGTTTTTGCAAATTTTGTTAATGATTGCCTCAAACAGGATTGTAATAAAAATAATGTATTTACAAATCATAGTGAAAATATATATTACTAACAGTTCATTACTTGTTATGCTGGTGATTATTATAATAGAGATTGAATGAGTATTCAGATTAAATGTGACTATGTTTACTTAAAAATAAGAGTCCCTGTAGCTGTGGCCCAAAGGCAAAGGAAAACTTAGTGATCATTTCTTATTTTTTTTTCAGATGTGCCAGTAATTGTATATTTCAGTATTATGTTGCAGGCATATTAGTATTTCTTTCAATTATTTTAAGCATATCAACTCCTTATTTGTTTTCAGGCTTATTAGTATCATATGGCCCAAAGGCAAAAGAAAAGTTAGTGTTACATCATTTCTTATTTATTTTCAGGCATATCAGTATAATGAATGCAGTCTTAAAGTGGAATCACTCAATCAGATGTAGTTACTATAATTAGTGGGAACTATGCCTTTATGTGTACAGTAATTATCTGTGTGGTTTATTTATATTTATTGTAATTATCCTATATGTTATGATACTTAAACATTTTCTTCTGGGTCTGCAGCTTTATTTATCAAATTACCAAATTATAAGACCTTACCAAGTTTTAGAATGAAAATATAATAAAAAACAGCAGATCTTATTTTCAAGTAAATGCAGTATATGTTGTTGAGGCAAAATTCATGAGTTTTATTACAGGATATTAGAAATTAATGCATGTAAAGGAGACAGAACACAGTTGAGGAAAGAGCACGTCATAATTTGAAAATAAATCATTTTTTAAACCATTAATTGTTAAATACAAAAGTTTTATGCATTTTGTTTCTGTACACTTTTAAAAAATATTAATTTCATAATACATTATATGTGTATATCACATATCATTAAACAATTGCTAATTAGTTTTTGTAATTAATTTCTTAGACAGCTTTCCCAATTTTAGTTTTAAATATTTGTTGTCTTCTTAGTGCGATAGCTCTTATTGCTTTAGTATTGTATTTTGTTAGAACTAATTATATTTCATTAATGTTTAAAAGAAAAAAAGATTTTGTGCCAGTCCAGTAAACATGTAATTTTATTACCTGAAAGTAAATATAACCTTAAAAAAATATAATTGAAAAAAATCTGGTTTTTTAAAAACATTTCATTGCTATGAGAATAATGTTCATGGAAAAATAGATATTAAAATTGTTCATAATACAGGAATCATAATTTTAGGTAACAAATGATAAATATGCTACTTAGTTGCTTTATGTTTTACAGTGTTCTAAACCAAAAATTTTAAGATTAAGATGCATTTAAAAAATACTTAGAATGAGTTTCCTTTCTTTCTTTACTTTTCTTGTGAGAGGGATGTTGCATTAATCATTTAATTTCATTGCATTGCTTTGCTTTAATCACTCTTTTTTTGCTAATGTATTTCATATTGCACACCATCTATAGTTTGTCATCTAATTTTTTTGTGGTTATGGAATCTACTTCTGCCAGTATTTACATGTTATGTTATAAATGTAAAGTTAAATATGCCACATACTACTTAGTTTTCTGTTCTTCACATTTATTTATTATGTTATTTAAAATTGCTAACAAAATATGATATTTGCTTGAAAATTCATTCACGTTAGAATTCAACTTCTGAAACTTAATGGCTGCTTAGGCTTTATTTAATATTGTGTAATTCTAGTTTTTAGTATTAATTTTATTTTGTAATGTATAGTTGTAAAATATACATGCTGATTTTTACTTCCTTGTACGAAGTAAAAAGGAAGTATTTCATTATGTATAACTAAGAGACCCACAGTATAACTCTCAGATTAATAAAAGATGATTAAGTATCTTTCATTGCATATATTTAAGTTCTTTGAATATAGTTTAGAAATGTGAATTTTTAAAGTATTTTTTTTATATATAATTAAACTTAGATTTATTTATTTATTATATTATTTGAATTAGAGAATAATATGACATAATAAATAAATTTAGAAATTCAGTTTTGTTTTTCATAAAGTCACATGTTTTATAATATTATTTAGAATTGAGTCAGTTTTATTTTTCATTAAGTCATATGTTTTATTGCTTATTGTTTTGATTCATGCATGAAAGGAATGACTTTAAACTTTTATTAGGAGTAATGTCAGATTCAAAAAGGTTCATAATGTAAATTTCTGTCAGAATCTTAAGACTGTATTTTTTCACACTGCCATTTAACAGTTAACTAACAGAAAAATGATTTAGATGGCTGAGTAGAAAATTTATTAAATAGTAAGAAAACTTTGTAAAATTATATTCAGAATAGAATTTCAGTTGCACAAAATAATACATTGTATGCATAGAAAATGAATCCTGAGTAGAAAATGTAAGTATATTAATGTAAATCAAGGTAGAATTTGTAGAGTTTAGGTTTTACAAACCTTTTTCAACAGAATTTAAATGGTTTCAAAGGTTTGCTCATAAATGAGCAAAGATGCTTTAGTCACAGTATGAGACACCCTTATATATGGAACAACCCTGGATTTTTTAAAGTGTTTAGAAAATATCAATGGCTTGCATCAAGGATATGCTGAAGATGTTATGCAGGGAAAGTAGTTAAATGATGTAAATGCCATACTTTGAGATAAAACTGAGATACTTTTCCTTTCAACAAAGTTTAAGGCATAGATGATAAATATTTAAAAATATGGTTTAATTATAAGTTTCATATATATGTAAGAAGGATAAGACTTCCAGAAGGATATTTTAAGGGAACAAATATTCTTATGTATGCAACAATAACATGTTTATTTCAGTAAAATGCAAAGTAAATCTATATGTAAACATGTAAAATACTAATATGTAATATGTATCTACAGGTACAGGTAGAGGTGTGTGGGGGGTACCAGAGATTCACTGTCGGTCATACAGGCTAGTCCCACTACACTAACTGTGGAGTTCTTCCCGAAATACAAGGGAGAACCTCCAGGGGGTTGATCCAAGTGCCTCCCACCCCTCTCTTTGCTGTAAGGGTTAGTCTATACATTCCTCCCCTATCTTTGGAGCTTTTCCATGTGTAATACAAATACATCCTTTAGAATGTCTTTTACTGTGGCACTCCTTCTAAATCAGATAGGCCATGTATGCTTTGCCACTAATATTTGTTTCCCTTTATGTGAAATAATAATAAGTCCTCTTTGAAGAATTTGAATTTTCACTTGATTTATTAGCAGTCATAAATTTATACCATTTGAAGTTATTAAATTTTACATTTTACTAAAATCAGGATCACCATATTTGTTACATAGAGGTCTGTTAGAGTGTAGCTAAAATCTTATCATTGTGAAATAATGGTTAAAACTTTTCTACATATTTTTTATTTAAAAAACTGTGTTTTAGTTTAAATATAAAATAGTTATATGTAGTTTCTTTGAATGGTACTCAGCTAAAAATTTAGTGTATTTAGTTAGTTGAAAAATATAGCTATATTTTTATAGGTCAGTTATCAATATTAACAAATCTGAGGTTTCATTTAATTATGCAGTTTTTTTAAGTTCCTGCTTTGAAAGAGTGGTTGTTTAGTTTCAAATAATCATTGACAGATTTTGAAATGCTTTTTGTTACACCCAGATTGTGTAAGAGATCTTTAATTCTACAATAGGTTTGAACAGATATTTTTTGGCATTCTGGTATTTTTAATCATTTTCCTGTTAAAAAAAAAGTGTTGCATTTATTTTCACAATATAAATGCTTTGCTTTTTGTATCCTTAGATAATTTCTTAAAAATTTCAAGGATGTTCATTATCTTAAGTTACAGTTTCATGATGTGTCCTTATTATTAAAGTAGGAAGACAAGCCACTGTATTGTTGATGCAAATACCTAATAATGCCACCTTATATTAAAATGTTGTAGCCAATTGAATATGTTTTCTGATAGAGCATCATTAAATGAAATGAGTCTTGTATTTGTAATAATAATAATATATAATGTATATATATATATATATATATAATGCCTGAACTGTTGCACGTTGGGTGTAACTCTCATGATTCTTCTGTGAAATTCTTATTCACATATCTCCATTCTTCCAGTACTTTCTTAAAATTAAGCACATACTGGTGGTAATTGGCCTAATAATTAATGTGCATCTTGCTTGTACCTTCAAACATGTGGATATGTTAAATCATAGTTACTTAACAGTAACTATGTGAAAGTTATTTCCATGTCAAAATTAGTTTTTACTGAGTGTTCAGCAAATTAACTGGAAGAAGTGGGATTTTAAATTCTAATATTTATTTATTTATTTTGTAGTGAGAAATTTAATTAAATATATAATAAAAGAAATTAGTTATTATTGTGACTTCAGTGCGAAATCTATGAAGATGAAATTAGTTTAAAGGTTGCAAAAGCAAATATCTTGTATAAAATACCATTTCAAGAATAAAAAATTTCAAAATTCTTAAATTTTAAGGATTTTTATGAAGTATGTAATAGTTCTGATTTTTTTTTTTTTTTTTTTTTTTTTTTTTTTTTTTTTTTTTGCTATATAGTTTGCATAATTAAAAAAAAGTGATTGAGATTTTTTACCCATTGTCTTTTTCTTTTAGAAATATTACTATTCAATGTCTAAAATCATGAAATAGGACACTAGTATCCTATGCAGGTTTTGTTTGAAATATTTTTAATTAAAACATGCATAACTGATTGATAAATACTAAGGTACAATTTATGTAATTTTGGTTCCCGAAAGTCACACAGTGGGAGGAAAACGAAATGCAGAAAGTATTGTAGATCAAGACTTCATATTTGGATAAAAGACAGTATGCTGTCATCATTTCTTTGTTTATAATATTGAACAGTAACAAGAGAGAGAAAAATCACACCAGTTTCTGAAAATATTACTGTAAGTATTAATTTTTGATGGCAAGTATTGGTGATATGTCTGTAAGACATCACTTGAGTGCATACAATTGTGGTCAAGCAGTAGGACACCTCAAAGCAGAGTGGTTACTCAAAAAGTGTCACTCAAATTGCCAGAACAATGGGTATATCAAAAAGTGTTATATTAGAGTTGAAGAAGGCTAATGTAACACTGAACCTGGAAGTGTTGTGCAGAAGCATGCTGGTGGGTATAGGAGGCCTACCATACCTCGAGGGCATACATATATTGCCCTGTTAATAAACAGAAATGCTACTCTTGGCCAGATAGCCACAGATCTTGCCAACACTACTAGCACTCGAATATCTGCAAGAACCATTTACTTAAATATTTGCAAGAACCTAGGCAGTTGAAACATATCAGCTCTATGCATGGAAGCCTGTTGCATGCATTCTGCTATGAGCACATTATCACTAGGTAAGATTACATTGGTTTAGGAGTGTATTAACTGAGGCTAGTAACAGTTATCTTGATTCATGTTTTCTAACAAATCTCACTTCTCCATCAACAGTGATTTTGGACACCAGGTATAGTGTGGAGAGAGAGAGAAACTCATTACCATCATTAGTACATTCAGGAAAGTGGTAGCTGTGACTGAGGAGAAATTATATGCTTGGATGTCATGCACAATAAAAGAATATATCATATCATTGATAGATATATAGTGACATTACAATAATGTTGTACTAAAATTATCCTGTGTCATGTCCGTCTTTTCTTTGGTACAGACTTCCTGATCATTGATGACAATGCATTTAAGACAGCTGAAGTGTCGTGACACACCAGCAGGAGAAGATACTGAGTGCATGACATGGTCTGCATATTAGCTAGAACTAAATCCAGTACAGCATGCTTGGGATACACTGGGCAGTATCTTCTCTGAACCATACAGGAGTTCAAAATTGATTAAGTGATGACAGTTTAGTTGGCAGCAGACTTAATAGATGCTAAGCATGCGTCCTGCCCAAGGAGGTCAAACTCCATACTGATTGACTCATATCTGTCCTTATTTCAAGCAGAATGAGCATTTTTTATAATTGTTGAAAATAGCTGTAAGATGTATCTTTTTTCCTTCTCCACATCGTGTTTTGCCATGTAGCAATATCAGTACCATTTTGTGTAAAAATGGTACTTAAATGTGTGTCAGATTCCACTTCTTTAAATGAAGTCTGTCATTAGTTATTATGAAAGTTGTTCAGTAGTGTAGGTTACTAATTTTGTATGATGTGTTCATATTTGTGACTATGACAAAAAGTGCAAAATTGCAAGATAACTCATTTCTGTTGTTAAAAATTTTTTATGTCATAATATATAAAAAAGATTTCAAGTATTACTTGAAGCAAACCTAGAGTTTGCAATGAATTTTTTGAAGGTAATTGCTTTATAAATTCAGGGTGCAACATAATTTAGAAATACAGTTGTGATGTTGAATGTTACAGGGTTTTCATTGCTTGGATTTATAATATGGCATGCTTGCTTTGCTTTCTGCTTCTAAATCTTTTGAGAGAGAAAATGTCACATTTAAGCTGGAACTTTGTTTTATTGACTTATTCAAAGGTATCACTATGCTGTCTTTTGAAAAGAAAATGTGAACATTTTAAAGGTTTAGTGGTCATAGGTGAAACATGCATATTCATTGACAGTATGAAACTATGTTGTCAATGAATATGCATGTTTTCAGTTCCATATTTAACAGATTATCATTTTAGAATATTTAGAAGTTAAGCTTTATATATATGTGTGTGTGTGTGTGTGTGTGTGTGAGAGAGAGAGAATTTTGCTTCATATCTATTACAAGTCTACAAAGATTTCTGTTTGAAATTTTATGAAATTAAAAATTACATAATTAGTTATCATAATTTGATCTTTTATCAAAATTAGATGCATGTAAGAGCAATGCATATATTTTATATTTATGATTAATTTTTTAAGTAACTCAGATATATAGAATAGTAGGATATCATGTTTTTCTTACAGGAGTCAGTCATCACTATCCAAAGAAGCTCTAGCAGAAGATGGAGAAACCTCGCTCTCTAAGCTTGACGTTGTCCTTTCATTCACGTTGGAGGTAAGAGCTTTTTTTTGTAACAATTACACTTTCTTTCATTTCAAAGATGTAATGTGTGGTTATTATACACAGCGTTTCAAAAAGAATATATGTATTACAAAGTGTTATTTTGTCCAAACTACTGATCACTGGTAACCATCACATATTTAAAATGGCTACTCTGCAGCAGAAGTCATTTTGTATTCTTGAGTTTGTGAAGTGCAATTCCGTGATTAGTGCAAAGACATTTCAAGTTGAGGTACCAAAGTGAGCCTCCAAATGGGTGGAACATTAGCAGATGGTATCGACAGTTTGTAAATACAGAATGTGTATGTAAAGAAAAGAGTCCTAGCCGCACTCGTGTTCCCGATGTAAATGTTACATGAATTCAAACTGCTTTCCAACGTAGTTCTTCAAAATCAATGGGTTGTACCAGTTGGGAGTTACAGCTGCCTACAACAACAATTTGGCATGTTTTGAGACGTCGGTTGGTCTTGAAGCCTGTGTCCTGATAACAAACGCAAATGTGTGGCATTTTGTAATGAAATTATTGATGCTATTGACAATAACACTTTCGCACAATGCATTGTGTTCAGTGATGAAGGGACTTTTCATGTTAGTGGTCATGTAAGCAAAAACAATGTTCGAATTTGGGGCCTACAGAACCCACATGCAACTATTGAACATGTACGAGATTTGCCCAAAATCTATATGTTTTGTGCGATATCCCAATCATCTGGTTACGGCCCATTCTTCTTTGATGGAAACACAGTTAATGGTCAGCAGTATCTCGCTATGTTACAAAACTGGTTGTTTCCGAGACTGCACGAAGATAACATTTTTCAACAAGACAGGGCACTCCCTCACTGATGTCGCCAATTGTGGGATTATCTGAAAGAAATTCTACCGAACCATTTTATTGGTCGTCAAGAAGCTGGCAACTTAGCATGTCTCAGCTGGCCTCCATGGTCACCAGATTTGACACTCTGTGACTTCCTTCCAGTGTTTCATTAAAGACAACGTTTATATACCACCACTTATATACCAGATACGTACTGCCATGACATCAGTGATGATGGACATGCTTGATTGAGTATGGGAGCAATTTGAGTATCGATGTGATATTGCTCGTGTCGCTGATGGAGGACATATTGAACATCTGTAACATCTGTAATCTGAACTTGAGAGGGTTCGTACATATGTGTATAAAGTTTCATATTTGTATGTTATACAGTTTAATAAATGTATGCATTCGAAATATGTATATTCTTTTTGAAACATACTGTATCTGATTAACATTTTAGTTTTGGATGTGTTTCTTTGATACTGTAAGTTAATTCCAAATATATTTTCATACCTATAGTGAAGATGATATATATACATGAATATTTTAAAATTCTTCATGAATTAAAATTGAAATAGAACAATGAATTTTATTAATAGGAGAGACTGCCATTTGAAAACTGAACTTAAGGAGAATCCTAATAATTCCATAATTAACAAGTTGGTAAAATAAGATAATCAGGTTATTGTTATACTTAGCATTAGAACAAGGTTGTTGTAGTTACTTCAAGGGTAACAAAAGAACCAGAACAAGGTTTTGTTCTCTTCTGTGGTGAGAAGAAAGAAAAATAAATTAGCTTTTGACAATATGAATATCTTTCAAATAAATTATTGCCTGATCAAGAAGAGAAAATTGCGGAGAATGGTTCTTGAGAGCACAAGAAATATATTGGGTCAGTCCATAAGTTCATGCGCATTAAGAATATGCATGGAATTCACTATGATGCATTTACGAAAACAGTACAATTTTGAACCTTGTTGAAACTTGTCATTGTTTGACTAACATATTATTCAGTTCATCACCAACTTTCGTAAATATCAATCGCATTTTAGTACCCATAGAAGATGAATATAGATAATTTGTACAAATGTGCTGTGCTACATTTTTTATTTACGTGAGGTGAATCTGCCAGGTCTGCAGCAATAAAAATTAATAGTGTACATGGTGAACCCACTATTAGTGTAAGGACTGCCCAGAAATGGTTTAAAAAATTTAAAGTTGGAAAAAGTATCATTGATGATGAACCCTGAGCCACAATTAACAGTGGATCAGATCGCAGAAAGGATGAATTCATCTCATGGAACAGTCTTTCGTCCTTTAAAGAAGATTGGGAAAGTATCCAAGCTTGGAAAATGGGTACCGCATGAGCTATCCGAAGCCAATTGCCAACAACAAATGAACATCTACACTTCCCTTTTATCGTGCTTCAAAAGAGAGCCATTTTTAGATCATTTGGTTACAGGTGACGAAAAATGGATTATTTATTATAACGTCACAAGAAAAAAAACGTGGACAGATAGAGATAAGCAGCCGATTCCAACAGCAAAGGTGTCTTTACATCCCAAAAAGATTCTTTTGAGTATTTGGTTTGATATGCATGGTGTAATTTATTTTGAACTGTTAGAACCAAAATCAAACAATTAATTCAGAAGTTTATAGTGAACAACTTTGCCATCTAAACTCAGAATTGATCAAAAAATGCCCATGATTAGTGAATATCAAAGTGTTGGTTGATCAATGTTAACGCTAGACCGCATACGGCTTGAACAATGCTGAAAAAATTAGTGAATTTAATTAGGAGCTTTTGCCACATCCTGTTTACTACCAGATATTGCCCCAAGTGATTTTCTCTTATTTCGGGCCTTACAAAACTTTTTACTGGGAAAAAAATTAAATTCTAAACAGGATATACACAATGAACTTTGAAGTTTTTTTACGTCAAAACCAGAGTCTTTCTACAGCAATGACATAAAAAAGCTGCCTTAAGATGGCGAGACATTGTAGATAATGGAGGAGAATATATAATTGGTTAAAATGTTAAATTGTGTTTTTTATATTATTTAAAAATTTACCGAAAAATGCACATGAATTTATGGACTGACCCAAGTGTGAGTGACCCAAGTGTGAGCAAAGTGAAAATTAACCGTTTTTTGTTTGGTAGAATAACAAGATTGGTATGCAGAAAAAGGAGGGGAAGCTCTGTAATAAACTGCAGTGCAGAAATAAAAGTTACTTATGTCATGAGAAAAACAAGAACAAATTGACAAATTAAATTTCAAGCATCAACTGAATGACAAATTCAGTGTAATTTATTGCAGATAAGTTATTCGGTAAATAATCTGTTCTTTTTGTGCTGTATACAAAAAGGCAAAGAATTGAGCATGGGACCTCCTTTTTTTTTTAAAAGATGCAAAAATATTTTCTCTTCCATCAAATGTTGTTACTACTTTTTACTTTTACCCAATACTTTTTTTTTTTTTTTTTGTTCTTTAAAAAGCAGGGACCTCATATCTGACTATTTTAAAATTTATATAAAAGTAAAAATTCAAAGTTGATTTTGTCTTGTTACAGTATCTGTAATGTACATTGTGACAGGGTATCACTTCTTTATATTTTATTTTGTTCTGCATACACCTACATGCTGTGTTCTGATAATCTTACTTCATGTCCTACCTGTCGCTGATCGAGTCTATTTATTGTGCTTATACAAAGTATGATTAGAAAATACTTGTTTCTAAAACTAGTAATTAAAAACTAGTATATCATGCTTTGTTTATTAGGATGTATGTGAATTTCTTCTTTAAATAATAAGCATATTTTTTCATTGATTTGTGATAGACTAAAAAAGTTAGATTGCAAGTTTCATATTTTTGATCATAACATGGTTATGTGTGTATGCTGAGGTCAGTGAACTCATAGCAGGCATTGTGTTGCAAAAGTCACATTCGAAGACTGAATTTGTTGCATTTAAAGTATGACTAATCAAACATAACTTTGGAAATTATAGGTTTCTGTATTATTAGTACATATTGCTCTAAGTGTCTTTGTTCTGATTTTTCCATGTGCTTGTTTTGTTAAATTTGCAAAAAACATTTAGACTGTGCCTGTATATATGTAAACATTAAACAGTTGTATAAAAATATAAGTAATGCTGTTATATGTGTTATATATTAATTCTAACTTTTATGTAATTTTCTAGTTGCAGGTTTTGTTATTGTCAATTTTGTATGTTAATGATAATTATACATTATGATATAAATGAATATAACAAGTTACTTTGCAGTTATCTGAAAAAAAAAAATTAGAGCTAAAAAAATTAGTTTATTTCTAATAAAGAATCTTGCATTTATATTTTTTTCACAGGTAGTAGTAATGGAAGTTAAAGGATTAAAATCATTATCACCTAATAGAATAGTATATTGTACAATGGAAGTAGAAGGAGGAGAAAAATTACAAACTGACCATGCAGAGGCATCTAAACCTATGTATGAATATAATTGTGAGACATTTTTATTTCATTATCAAAATTTATTGGATCACAAAGTATAAACTGCTATTCCAAGATTGCTTATTATTTAGTATCTTTATACTTATTATAATTTTCTAAAGCTATTACTTTCTCCCATAAAATTTTGTGGTATTTTTTCATTAGTAACATAATTTTCAAAATGTTTTCTTGCTAATTGAAAGAAAAAGCTACCAGAAACATATTGAAGGTTTTTAATAGGGCCAATAATTTCATGTTACCATATTTTTTTGGTAAGTAATATGAGCAGATTAAATGAACAAGTAAACACCTGATGCATTAGCAACTGCAAAAGTCATAAACATTATAATAACTTAATTAATACATTTTAAATAATGTAATACACACATCTTAAATAATTTTATATGAAATACAATATATATGATGGAACCTTCCATTATGACTGTTTCTAAACAATATATGATTATTACTTGGGAAAAAGGGTCTGAAAGGGTTCAGATTTTAACAGTTGCCCAAAAAGCTCTTTTCAAGTTTAATATTGTTTAAGTAGAGATTATGGACAGAGATTGCTCAAGTGGAATACAAAACATTTTATTTGTTTGGGATATTAGATGAATATGCATTTAGAATAACATGAAAACATTATATACATGTTTTAGACTAGTAGCCCTTTTGAGCTTAAAAAAATTAAAGTATTATTTAATAAATACAACATTTAATGTCTTCTTAAAAATTATTGGGAGACAAATTTCAGTCTCTCTTCCTGAAGGGGCTTATTCAGTAATCGGCATCTATGAAAATCCTTAGGTTTTTTTTCATACTGATTACTCTAGATATTGTAATTTGTTTGAAACATTAATTAAGCATTTGAAAAAGTGTGATATAATATACTAGGATATACACTGCAGAGAATATGAAAAGAGAAAGAATGAACTTTGAATTTTGAAGTGAAATATAAAACTCAGGGCATTTTAGTTTTGTGTTTTTTTACACTTTAAAAGTAAAGCATGAATATTAAACTAATTTTATAATTCACTGAAAGGTTAAAAAAATTGTAGAACAGAGAGTAAATGCTTACAGAATGTGCTTGAAATTGAGAGAAATAATAATAATGAAGATAATAGATGATGAATTTATTTTAGAACAGACACATATACACACACATATACACACACATAAAAAATAGCTTTTAAATCTTGCGTGGCTGTCAGATGGAAATGAAATGTATATCAAATTAGATATTTAAAAGAAATCTCACAGAAATTTAAATAATAAATAGTTTTTACGAGTATAAATTTATTTCTGAATCCATTCCAAAAATCTTCTATTACACAAAGCAAGCAAAAAATTAAAAATTTCCCAAATGTGCCATTTTTGAATTTGCAGGCGGACATAAAAATTCCCAGTGAAATTACTGCATTCCAAATGATGCAATACTTAATTTTCAAATACATATAATACATGAAATCCATTATATACATATCTGAGTGTAAAGGTTAATAAATTAAAGAATATGATCAAAATAAATGCACTCTTTATATTGTTTATTTTTTTACAAGCATATAAATGAACCTGTATGTATGTATTTTTACAAAAATAAAATAAATGGTACCAGACATGACATTTTAGTGTCTTTCTTGGGGAAGGAGAGGATGCTATGAATGGAAAAGTGCAACTTTTTTTTTCAAGCAAGATTTTTTGCATTAAGTGTAGAACTGCAATTTTAAATGAGAATTATACATTGATAAAAATTATGCGGTTAAAATCACTTATTTCTATGCCATTTATTTTATTAATATGTATAAAATGAAAAATAATTGATCTGAAACTTAAACTATAATGCTATGATATGTAAAGTTTAAAATTAAAAGCACTAATTTACTAATTTAGATATGTTTTCCCATGAAAATTTTATGTTGATTAGTGATAACTTGTAGTTTTTTATCAATCGTTTATCATCTAAACTGTAACTGGCTCATGTTGCAATTAGCAGGATGGTCTTATGACTTTTTTATTAACAAGTTGACTTGCTAACTACTGCTGTATAACTGTGGATCAAATCTAACTTCTCATAATTGTTTCCTAATAATTTGCAAGGCATGAATTCTTCTGTTAGTTCATAAATTTGATCATTATATGATATAGCACATAATTTACAGCATGAAGTCTGAGAATGTGAAAATTTTCTTATTCCACAAGGGGTTAAAACCAAACCTATCACTTTATCTATAATGTAAGCAGTAATTTCACTTCCAACTTAATACAAATGAAGCTTCAGTCAAGTAAGGCATTTGGCTAATTCTGTTGAATTTATAAATATAATATATTTTAATTATTTTTTAAATTAATGACATATATAGTGTATTACCATCTGTGTTGCATTGGCTTTTCATCTGCTTAGAGAAATAAAATCTATGTTGATTGGGGGAAAATTTTACCATGAGCATTGTTATTGTTCTTGTGTAAAAGTAATGTTGTGTCCTAAAGAAAAGTGCATCAAATCAGTTTTTTCATAAAATTTATCTTTGCAGAATAATCAAGATAAAGGTCCTTGTCCTTTTGAACTGCGGAGTTTGTGAATTCTTAATTTATTGTTTACAGTAGTTTTTATGGATATTTTTATAAATATATGGTTTAATAGTTTTATATTTATCCAAATTCATAATAATCTGCCTTTCTAGTGTAATTCCTGTTGTAAATTAGTCTTAATTCCTCAGATAAAGCATTCTGAATGAATTTATGAATTTAATAAGAAAATATTTGCATCATTTTTCGACATAATGAGTGATAGCACTGTTCATAGTTCCAAACATTTCTGCACTGAACTGGTTAGAATAGATGTGGTGCATTTTTTAAACTTTCTCTGTCACTTGAGCAGTTTGTGAGGTTAGCTATTGGGATCTGCAATATTACTGTAGTTAATAAGGATATCAAAAATACTGATTTTTTTTTTTTTTTTTTTTTTTTTTGTGTGTGTGTGTGTGTGTGTGGTGTGTGTGTTCAGTATTGAGGGATGGGGGTGTGTATAATATTCAACGCAAATTTAATAAAAGTTGAGAGATCACATGTTAATAAAATTAAATTTAAAAAAAAATTAAACATTTTGAAAAATTAATTTTTTTTTTAGAAAATGTTTTGAGCAATAAATTTCTTTAGCACCTCATTTTGTTGAAATGTAATTTTTAAAATGCTTTCAAAATTTGTAGGTTGCTTCTGCTGTTATTTTGGACAGATTTATAGCGAAAGAAATTAGTGCGCATTTCCTAATATATTTAACCTTTTCTGAGCATAGCATTGTTAGACTTAATTATCATTATTTTAGTGCTTTTCTAGCTTCACCATTCACTATCAGTTTTAAATATTTCCTTTGTCTGATTTAGTTGTGCATTTGCTATCTCTTACATCTTAAATGTTAGTCTTCCTTGTGGACCAGTATATAATTTATCCACTTAAGTGTGTCTTTAGCCTTTGTTGTATTAAAGAGTAATGGAATATTTTTACAAATAATTTAAAATATAACTATTCAAAGAATGTGAATTTTAGTCTATTTGATTAACTTTACAAGTTTACGTTTGAGGTGAAATTTCATATTGCAAAGTTATATTTAATAGAAATTACTCTTATTATCAATACTTTAGTGTCAACTGTTTCTGAAGACTTTCTAGTATTTAATAAAGAGAATATTATGTAACCAACATACTCATATATTATAGGTGGGATACACAAGGTGATTTTACTACTACCCATGCTCTGCCTATAGTAAAAGTGAAATTATACACAGAAAGTCCTGGCTTATTGAGCTTAGATGACAAAGAACTTGGAAAAGTAAAATTTCATTTATTTGTATTAAATTGCATAGTAAATAAAATTCCTCAATTTTAACTGTAGTTACTCTTTGAAATGTACATTTTTTGTATCATGACTGGAGATATCAAATGAAGTTGCATAAAAAATGAGTTATTGAATTTGAAGATTTATTGAAGATTTTGTACATCTAGGCATAAAAAATGAATGAATAGTTATAAAACCGTTAATTTATTAAATTAGTATTCTAAATTTTGTAGTTTAAATTGGGAATTGGATTGCAAGAGTCTTACTACTTGTCTTATTTCAGCTTCATTGCAGTAATTGAAGTAAATTACCCATGCAAATCTCCACCTTATCTGTTTGCCTGCAACTTGGATTTCTAATTCTTTATTTTTCTATAATGTTAATTTCTTTTTTATCTGGAGGTATATTTGTTTAGCTTTTATACTTTTTTTATAAGCTCCATTTCAATATTTTTATTCAGTCCTTCCTTAATCCATAACACCATGTCATTTAGATTTATAATGTTACATATACACACATATGCATATGTATGTATGTGTGTGTGTTGTGTCTCCTTATTTTTATTGATGTCTTGGTGATGAGTAAATACCTAAATTTCGGAAATCAATAATGTAACACACAGTTTTCTAACTTTTTTGGGTCATAGCCTTTTTTTTTTGCAAGCAGTGATTTAATGGTGCCTCTTATAAGTGGAGTATATTATATTATATTTTGTAAAACAAGGACAGTTTTTTTTAGATATACTTTATTAAGTTATTAAAATATTGGTATATTGCACATAGTTTAAGAAATATATGTTATTAAAAAATTAAGATAATAATCATTAGTGAGTGTAGCTATGGCATTATTTCATCTTTTGACTGGGTATGATTGCCATCTTTTTAAAACTCAACTTAAGGATTCTTCAGTCTGTACTCTTTGTAACTGTGGACAGTCCCTGGATAAGGAGCTTATTGATGAATGCACTGCTTTATTATCTTTTAATTCTATTGTTCTTACATACTGGGAAGCAAGATCAAGACTAATGGCTTAGTGGCCAAATGCCTGGCATTTGTATAAATAAATAAATTAGTGAGTGAGCTGAGCTTGGTGTAATGGCTCAAATTTTTCAATATTTGGTGCTATATTTTGTCATTAGCAGTCTTAAATCCCTATGCTCTACTATTGACAATCTGTCTCTCCCTTTGTTAATAAATAAATCGCTAAATCATCTTCTAGCTAAATAGGATAATGGGAATGCAGTGAAAATCTTCTTTGATACAACCCATAAAGCCAGATGTAATACTGAAGTTTGCTTTTGAAACTAAAATTCTTGAAATCCACTTTTTTTTAGTACTTCATTTGTTGACAATTCTGACAGTTCCTTCTACAGTGTAATTTTACCATTTGTGGGTTTGAGAAAGGTTCTAGGATCCATATTGATAGTACTGAGGATACCTTGAAATTTATATGTAAAATTTTTTAAGGGATTCCAGATGCTCACAAAATACTATCATGTTTGTCATCATTCGTTTCCACAGAGGAAAGGTTTGGAAGTTGATAGAATTGTCTCTGTCCCAAATTTTTTTAGTGCAAGGAAAATTTTGACAAGAATGTAGAAATAATGGATTTTGCAGTGATCAAATTCACCCCATCTCCGTGAGGCTGTAGATTTGTTTAATTAATCTATTGTATAAATGGTATAATCTATTGTATAAATCTATTGTATAAATGGTATTTAATTAATCTATTGTATAAATGGGTGAAATAAACTATATCATTCATAAATTTCAATAAATTTTCTTGTAATATATCTTTGTGTTAAAAAAGTGTTGAGTCAAAGAGGTCATAAAATCTTACTAGACAAATACTTTTTATAGCCAACTAATTTCCGTGTGCAATAATAAATATTTGTCATTTTTATTTCCCAAAGAATCTTATCATTGAGAGTATTGCTTCTGATTTTGTTAACTGCTGATTATATACTGTAATGAGCAACAAAAACGATCACTGGTTTTTTGCAACTAAATGTTGTCAGTGAATTCTTTCAAATATGAAATCAACTTTTAGTAGCTGGACACCACCGCTTAGCAACAGACATGATATTATACCAAGGGATACCTTCTCCTTTAAAATAGCACCTCAGTATATCAAATAAAGATTTTCTTTAGTATGCATTCCTATAAAATAAAAATTATAAAAAAAAAAAAAGAAAGAGTATCTAGAGGTGACTCTGTACTCTTTTTTTTTTTTTTTTTTTTTTTTTTTTTTTTTAAATTTAGACTTAATAAATGTCTGCAGGGCGGACATCATACTGCAAGGGCTTGTTCCCGGTCAGTAGTCCTCCTTAGCAGTGTAAAAGTAAAAAAGTATGCATTCCTATTTTTTTTCCCTTCAAATAATAGTTCTTGTCATTTTTTTTTTATATTTTGCACAGCAAAACAGATGCAAGACATAAAGGTTCATTGTTTGATAATGGCAACTCATCAAGCTGTAAAGGAAACTCATTAGTCCATTAACATAGAGAACTCTCCGTATCCTGAGACATTTTGTCAATTTGTCTCTATTGTGATATTACGTAATGGATTTTTTTTAATAATATCAGATGGTGGCTTGTACAATACTGTATGCAGAATTTCACTCACAGCTGGCAACATCAGTTCCTATCCATTGGTATGCAGTTTTCTCAAGTTACTAATAACTGATGAAATACTGCAAGTGGTGCAAAACCCATCAGTGTTTTGTTTTGATGCCCTTGAAAATGTACCAGCTCATGCATATTGGCTTGAGGGTTGAATGAATAAAACCATATTTCAAATATTAAACATTATAGTATGTCCTTTTTTTCTCTGAATCTGCTGGGTATATCTGTAAAAATAAAATGTGACCACCACAGTACCAACTGTCATCATATTAATTATTATTTAAAGTTAAAAGAATATAATAAAAAACTAAATTAAAAATTCATAGTTAATTAAAATTTCATAACACCCCCTTCTGATAACCATCAGTCAATAATATATGTAATAAAGAAATAATGATAATAATAATTTGGTTTATTTAATTATGGCAAAGCACATGAAGGCTATCTGCCTAAGAGGAGGGATGCCTTCATGGAGGTTTTTTTTAGAGGAATTGGTTTGTATACATGTTATGTGTGGAGAAAGGAACGAAAATGCCCATGCAGCCAGCTTATTGACCTGGAATTGAACCGAGTTCAAACTAAGATAAATTTTTATAGGTAGGTGAATAATAATAGTATGGGTAAGTCCATAAATTCGTGTGCGTTTTTTGGTAAATTTTTAAATAATATAAAAAAAACCACAATTTAACATTTTAATCAATTATATATTTTCCTCCATTGTCTACAATGTCTCAGCATCATACAGGCAGCTTTTTTATGCCACTGCTGTAGAAAGACTCTGGTTTTGATGCAAAAAAACTTGAAAGTTCGTTGTGTACATCTTGTTTAGAATTTTTTTCCCAGTAAAAAAATTTGTAAAGCACGAAATAAGTGAAAATCACTTGGGGCAATATCTGGGGAGTAAAGCAGGATGTGGCAAATGCTCCCAATTAAAGTCACTATTTTTTTGCAGCATTGTTCGAGCCATATGCGGTCTAGCATTATTATGATGAAACAACACTTTCTTGATATTCACCAATCGTGGGTATTTTTTGATCAATTCCGATTTTAGACAGCAAAGTTGTTCACTATAAATTTCTGAATTAATCATTTGATTTGGTTCTAACAGTTCAAAACGGCTTAAACAGGATTCATCATCAATGCTGCTTTTTCCAACTTAAAATTTTTTAAACCATTTCTGGACACTCCTTACACTAGTAGTCTGTTCACCCATGTACACTATTAATTTTTATCGCTGCAAACCTGGCAGATTTACCACACGAAAATAAAAAATGTAGCCCAGCATGTTTGTACTGATTATCTATAGTCGTCTCTTATGGGTACTAAAATGTGTTCGATATTTATGAAAGTTGGTGATGAACTGAATAATATGCTAGTCAAATGATGACAAGTTTCAACAGGTTCAAAATTGTATTGTTTTAATAAATGTTTCATAGTGAATTCCACTCATACTCTTAATGCGCATGAACTTATCGACTGACCCGATAAATATGTAGGTACTTCTGTTGCAAATAGTTATTACAATAAAGGTGTATGTATAATAATTAGGTCCATGTAAGTTATCTTTATCTATTGGTACTGCACAGAAATTTTTGAATAGCATTTTGCTTTGAAGGAGCTTCCAAATAATCTCATATGAATAAAGACTTTATTTATTTATAGTAATATTTAACAAATGTATCAAAACATGCATAAATTCAATGCTTTGCTTATGTCTTAATCTTATTATGACCTGTGGAAATTTGTAAACATAAGCTTTGTTAATCTTGTCACACACATGTGCATTTAGTGCTCCATGAGACTTTAAAACATCTTTGTTCGTTGATTGGGGAGGGATAACAAACTTTTGATGATCTCAAATGGAATTTCAGATGTTTTGGCATTTTAAGCATACAGGTTAGCTGAAGGGCTTGGCTTTCTAAGGGTTAAAAGACGTTTAAAACTATTTATTGAAATGTGTTCAATAATTTTTAGTATTAACAGAACTTTTCAGTTTGTTCTTGTATTGTCCAGGGGTTGGCAGATGGTCCTTAATGCCTCCTTAATTTGCCTGGAAGAAAAGTGCCTCTTCAGCCCCAATAGTGAGCAATATCAATGCTTTTATTTTAAGTCTTGTTAGATGACATACACATAGCAACACTGGATCTTTATTTATTGTTTAGGTTAGGTAGATAAATGTTAACCCTTCACAGTCACTTAAGAACTGGAAGTGCGATTGTGGTTGACATGAATATAATGTTAATCACTTTATTATCATTATGCATGGTGCTATTCCCAAGCCATCAATAATGAATCAAGCCATGTTTAAAAGTGACTAGCAAAAATCTCAATTAGTTTGGAGAAAAACTTCGTTTATGGCATACCTGCTGCTGCTTATTGAGAATTAAATTCTCCATTTTTTGACTTTGTAGGATTTTTTGGTAATCGTGTAGTTACCATGATTTACTGTTTTTAGTTAGTCATTCATTTATTAAATGGCACCTATAAAATCCTGTTTTCAAATTCAGATGTGAAATAAAATGGTGGAAAAAGATGTATTTGCCATGAAGTATGATCAGTTCTTCTTTAGTTGTAATCCTTTTTAAGAGAAGTTAAATTTATCGTGAGTTTACTTCAAAATTATAAATTAATTGTGCTTTTCATATATGTTAACTTATTTCTATAAATATGTATATGTAGATCATTTTTAGTATTTGTTATTTAATTTGTAACTCTGATAGTTTTCCAAACAGTAAATATTAATTTTAATTCAAATATGAATACATTGACATATGCTTAAGAAAATTTTTTTAATACTTTTTGTTTCTGTTTTGTTAAAACTGTTCACTGATTATGGTCTTTTTAGGTCTATACTTGTTACAAATTAATTTCCTTGTGTTAGATTTTGTTCTTATAATTCCATAAAATTTTATATTTTAGTATTAATGCTTTCTGTAATTCTTCCCAAATCTGTAGGTAATTATAAAACCCACTCCCTTAAGTCCCAAAACCCCTGAATGGTACAAAATGATAGTTCCCAAAAATGCCCCTGATCAAGATTTACGAATAAAGATTGTTGTCCGCATGGATAAGCCTCTAAATATGAAGCATTGCGGGTAAGTTTGAGTTTTGTTTTCTATTTATTGTGACTTGCCAGTTTGATTTCTTTTGAATTCTTTAATAAAGTGCTTGTTTTAATTTTATTAATCAGCTCATAATATAAAGTTGCTTGCCATGCTAAATGTATTAAAACAAGCCTAGACAGAAATGTGTATTTGGCAGTACTTGTAACAGTGCCAACTCCATGGGCATCTTGCTCAGTATACTATCAACATTTATCACAAGGGCATATATTTTAGATATATTTATTGAACCAAGATTTCTGTTATTGTTGTCTTGTCTATATTACATGGAACAATGGTTGCCAAAACCTACTCCAAAGAGAGTTTGGACTTCTATTTTCCACCCCCAATTTTGAGTGAGAGCACCCCGGGGGGATCCATGGGTCTCCCACCCCTCTCCTCTCCCACCAATCCACATGAGATGACTTTTGGCACGCTGCATAGAGTGCCGCCATGCCACACCAACACTATACATTTACAAACTTTCATGTCTTACTTGGGATTCGAACCCGTGCCCTTTGGTACCATAGTAGGCTTCCCTAGCCATTATACAGTCTGGGCAATCAAAATTTCTGCTATTGTATTATTATTGCTAAGATATTAGGCACTCATAATGAATGCTACTAGAAGGGCTACAGTGACTAAATAATAACACTGGAGAACAATTTGTAACATAATTCCTGTTGAGATCTATCTTTGAGCTGTTTTAGAGTTAAATAGGCATTATCGATTTCAAAACTGTAGTTAGTTTTCTTCTACCATGTTAAGTTTTTCCCTGTACACATGATGTGAACACTCTTCATGGCGTCAAATTTAGGTCATAAGAAGTACTACCTCTCTTCTACTGGCTGACATGAACCTTCCAATTAGCACCAAGTGAATGACCCTGTAGGAGACCAGTGACAAGTGCACACTTGTCTAAACTAGTTTATTTATGCCTGAGATACTGTAGTGAGATGTTGTGTGCCGTTCTTATATAGTGAAGCACATTTCAACATGTAGTTCGAGTTCTTATTTGTGTATAAGGTTAACAATGTTTAGTTTTTATTTATATATGAACTGAAACCTTTCCTTATGTCTGCTTCTGCTAGTTTGCATCATAAGTGCTTAAACAACCCTGATTAGTCTTCTTATATTTGTTGCAGTTTTATATTCCTCAGTCAAAGGATGAACATCAAACAAGTAACTTTAAAATAGAGGCAAGCCTATTTTGCCTATTTTAAAGTAAAAATTGTTGATCACGATAAATCATGGGCTCTTCACAAAGAGTGTGCAAGCTGTGTGTCAGGTGTTTATGGATGTGAATGAAGGGAACACGTTTTAAATTTCCATATGATTTGATGAAAGCCCAATGATCACTCAAATAGTTGTTACTTTTGTATAATGAAAACATACAGGATAAAACAAGAAAAACAAATGTAAAATAGAGTATAATATTTTACCATCAGTTTTATGCCTAGTGCCTCTCTCAGCTGAACTCCCAGTGCCAGTTTTCAAAGAATTACTCTCTTTTGAAATACAGGAATATGGTTCTAGTGAATGGGGCATTATTTTGAATCTGTGTAAATCCTTTAAATTGTAGACAATTTCTGGCCTGAGCTGATGGCAGCAAGCATTCATTGTTGATTAATTCACTTGTTCCCATGAGAATTTAATGATTTCTGTGCATTGCCTTATGTGGATTGGCTCTCAAATGGCATTAGGATATCATGCTTTCCTTTCTCTATTGCTTTATTTGCAGTGATGTAAATATGCATGTCATATTAGGCCTTGAGTGGTTTTATGATCTCTTAATCGATTGGGTGGATTAATGAAATGGGAGGAATAAAACATATATATTTGAATGCAGTGTTTGTGAGAGTTTCAAAATCCTGTTTTGGAACATATGAGAACTGTAAAGATCAGGTTTTGCTGTTTCTAAGTAATGTTTGACTTCTTTAATAAATAAATTATTGAACCAGTCATTAAAGATTGCTTAGTTACACAAGCTTTTCTTTTTTATTCCACATTATGGAGAGTTGCTCAAAATTTTTCCTCTGCAATGCACTAGGCATTTGAGATCGCAACTGCTTGTGCTTAGTCATCTGATGCATTTGCTAAAATAAATAAAGTCTAGCCTTTATAACTTTGAAATATGGGGCAGCCTTTTATGCCTTTGTGATGTAGTTTCATCACACTTTTAATTATAAAATAGTCCTGTCTCATTTGCATTAAAAACTTGCTGCCGAACATAACACCTCAATTCAATAAATTTCAAAAATTGAGTTTGCATTTCTGTGCTGCTGCTTTATCAACAGACCAGCTTCTCCTTAAAGCTCTACATTGTGCAGATTAAAGTAGCACTTAAAAGTTCTCATGCTTGAAAGTTAGTTTTCTCTGATGATTGGCTATCTTTATTTAAGATGAAAGATAAATTGATATTTTTATTTCAAATAGAAATACTATCTACACTGAGAGTTTTCATTTACTTGATGTCAATCCAAGCTATTAATATATTTTTCATCTTTTCCAATTGCGAAGTTCTTAAAATTTGAGCAACCTTTGCAGAAATATGACCTGAAGCTTTGACCCTAGACCAGATCTTTTCTTCATTCTCCCATATATTTCTTACGGTTAATTCATTTATAGCTAATTCTCATGCAAGTGATGAAACTTGTGTATAGTTTTTCAACTTATATAAATTTCAGTTCTCTGAGATAGTGTCAAAATTTTGTGTCTTTTGCCGCCTTATCATCATCATTTTCACAGATGTCATACTAAATTATGGGATTAAAAGAAATGCATATGCAAAGGTAAATAAAAAATAAATGATGAACACCGATAAGTACATGATTGCAGCTCTGCTAATAAGAGTGAAAGGATTGTAACTTGGCCTGGTCACGCATATCTGGCAACTCTTTGCAGTGTCAATGGTTTCTTGTAAAGAATACATTGTTATGTCAACATGGCTGATACACTGCATCTTGCTGTGTATAAATTAAATGGAAATAATTAAGGTAAAGATTATGTACAAAATCACATTTTGAAAACTTGTTATATACTTGGCAAGGGATGTTTTAGAGTTATAACATGTATATGGCCTCTGTATATGGCAATAAGATAATTATCACATTATTGCTTCAGTGATTTCTTTGAACATATATTTTGACCAAAAGTCTTTTGTATTGCAAAGAAAATGAATGATAGAACTTCTTGTGTGCATTTAAAATTTATTATTTAAGGACAAGCTTTCTTTTTTCTTACAGGTATTTATTTGCGCAGGGAAAGCAGGTATGGAAAAAATGGAAAAAAAGATACTTTCTACTGGTTCAAGTAAGAATGGCATTTACTCCGTTTTTTGCATTATTAAAAGGAAATAATTTCATTGTTTCCATGTGATAATTTATAATTTAAAAACATTATTCATGTTTCTGTTTGATTGATGAATAAATTATTTATTTTGGTGTACATAAATCATTTTATACCTCTAAAAAGAGTGCATATTTGGAAATATATATTTTTAAATAAATTGAAAACCATTTTTATAAATAATTTAATTAACAGTATTATTATGTTAAATGTTACTTCATACTAATTAAACTCATATTAATTTAGAATGTTTTTAAAAACTACTTAGGCTGTAATCTTGTGTGGGAGAAAAAACAACCATATTCTCTTTGTTTGGAGTCCATCTGGATATCTTTTTTATATCAGATACTCTTTTCATTCAAAATTCAGATATTTGTGCCATCTTTGTTATGTTAGCTATTGTCATCGTTTGGAATTCATGTGTGCAATCTCATTGATTTGTTAACTCTTATATTGGAGGGTAGAAACCATAGAAATATTAAAAAATTATATTTATTTCTTCCATTTTTGAGTTTTATAGTACAGTGGTGCCTTGCGTACTGAATGCCTCAATGGATTGAAAAATGTTCCATTACAAATTGGATGCAATTTTTGTCATGTATTAATGTGGAGTTAAATTTCTTTTATTTTCTGTATTAACTCAAATTTAAAAAAATGCCCCTGTGTGTAAATAAACACAAACAGCACAGGAGGAACATATAAGTCAATGTATTTCTAAATTTTATATCACAAGTGAAGAGACACAGGTCTTGCTTTAACAGGCCAAAGAAGAAATCCAAGGAAGTTTATTCTGGTTAGGAAGAGAAAATACAGATGATCTACCCCTACTATAACCATTCTGTCGATATGAAAAGAGGTCTAGGTCACAGCTTGAAAGTGGCTTTCCAAGTTGAAAGGGACATAATGATTAATGTATTTTGTGGCAATGTCATGCACTAATTTAAAACAATACTAAGCAAAAATTAAGAGCTAAACATGTTAGATAAGTTCTCGAAACCTCAACCTTTCAAAAATCCAAGAAGAAGTTCATGGATAGCTGAATTTTTCATGTCCAGTGGAAGACTAGGGAACACAGACTAAACTGAATAAAAAATTCTGTACACACAGCATTTTAAAATTCTTTGTAAGTGTTAAATTAATAAATTTCTAGCATTTACAACATTGGTTGTGTTTTAATACTCTAATAGTTCGTGCAATATTCCTTGATTTTGCTTAAGTTAAGAAACACTTGAAAAAGATTGTCAGAGTAATTTATGGAAATCAGTAACTTACATGATGAATAATATTGAGAAAAAATTCCCCTTCCTGTTGATTTTTGGAAACCATCAGCAAGAGGTTGTTAAGGATGTTAATTTAGAAGTCAAACAACAGAAATCAGCACTATATTTTCAAATTTTCACAGTGAAACATTTCACTGATATTTCAAATTTGAAAATATAATGCTGATTTTTTTTGTTTGACTTCTAAATTAATATTTATTCGGTGTGTTAATATCTTAATTGTTAAGGAGGTTCAGTTGAATCTCTCTACCATGCCGATTGCAGATGTAAAGGCATCGTTTGGGTTTCGTCTGTGCTGAGTACTCTGCAGAGTTCTTTAATTACAGACAAGATAAAATTCCTTCCGTGACTGGAATGTAACTGAAGAAGCACTTCAAACCTGGAAATCCATTGCTGTAACATTATCTCTGCTATCACAACAACCTCGAAATCAGGATTGATTAAGCTTCAGGTCACTTTGTGAAGTAATTATTGACAACAAAGATGTATTTGTTGTGATCAGCAGTTCATAGCAGAGGTCACAGGATGTCAGCAGACTTAATTTGAGGATTTAATTTTAGATTGTCTTCCTTGAATTTTTGAAGCTTCTTTTTAATATTTTCAAAATGCTTCCCAATAATGATGATGTTATTCAGATACAGTCAAAAGTCTTTAATCCGGACTCGTCAGAACCTCGGCGATTCTGGATTATCGGTTTTTACGGATTATAGATCATCAGTTTAAATCTAAGATGGCATGCAGAAATTATAAAATTAAAATATGAAACCGTAATTTATGAAATAAAGAGCAATTATGATCTAAAGGGTATCAAAATTTACAAAAATATATATATATATATATATTTATTTTTTTTACTTTGTTAAACATTTCTTTCAACACGCGCATGCGTAAAGCTTACATTACGCATAGTCAAAATTAGAAAATTGCAACCAGAAAACTATTTGATGGGTATTCGTGATATTTATAATGACGAGGAATTTGATTTAAATCATATCAAAGATGGAGTACATTGAGATGAAATACTACATTTAGTAAGGAATTATAAGCCAAATAAAATAAAAACATCTGCCCTGAAGATAAGGATAGTCCTGATAGATCAACTTCCAGTTTATTTTTTTGCAGCAATTCCACTTTTTGTTTGATGGACATCGAAACATGCTTTTGCTTTGTAGATCCTTTGGCAGCTCAGAATCAGAATTCTTTTTGGCATAATTGAAAGTTCAAGCTTACTTTTATCAGATCGCTCTAACAGTCTGCAAAATATGATAAGCTGGATTCAATGAGAAGATTAAGGAACAACCCAATCTGCAACATTAACTGAAATAGATAATTAGTTAATTTTAGCTTAGCTTATACTGTCCATTATACACTGGTGTGCAAAAATTAAGGATGAGACGGTTTTTTCAATATAACTTTGTACAAAAGCTTTCCAAATCAACACATACCTTAAGATCCCCAATACGTAAGGACATGAGTAATGTAAGCAACACTTACTAAAAGAGAAATCAGAGGGATAAAAAGAAGCTTTATTGAAAAAGTAGCATGGAGCGCAATGCGACTGAAGGCCGAAACATCCCTGTGATGGGTGTCCAGCAAGAAACATCCGGTCTTTAATAGGGGATATGATCTCCCCTGACTGCTAGGCAGGTTTCACAGCGTCTGCCCATGCTGAGAATGAGAGTGTCAATGAGTTGTTGAGGCACTGCTGCCCATTCGTCTTGCAGCGCCAATCAAAGCTCCAGAATCGTTACTGGTGGTAAGGTACGAGCTGTCAAGTGTCTACCTAAAAAATCCCATACATGCTTGATGGGATTGAGATCCGGAGATCATGCCGGCCAATCCATACATTCAATATCCTCACTCTCTAAGAGCTGTTCGGCAGCTACTGTGCAATAACATGGTGCATTGTCGTCCATGAAAAGGAACTGCGGACCCATAGCGCCTCTAAAAAGATGCAACGCACATATGGAAGAAGAATCTCGTTACAATAACGGGTCCCATTGACTGAACCTGCGTCGAAGATGTGAAGGTCTGTACGACTACCAAGCATGATGCCTCCCCAAACGAGAACACCGCCACCTCCATACCTGTCCTTTTCAATGATGTTCGAGGGATGATTGCGGCTTCCCCGCTCTCTCCAGATGAGTATGCAATGAGAATCGCTACTCAGACTGAATCTGCTCTCATCTGTAAAGAGTACTCGTCCCCATTCATTGTCTCTCCAATTCCAGTGTTCCCGACACCACAGAGAACGCCTTCTCTGATGGGCAGGCGTTAGAGGTACACACCGTACAGGGCGTCGTGCAAACAGACCATCACCGTGCAGTCTTCTGGCCACGGTAAAACGCAATATCGTTCATCCAGTCGCCTCTGTCGTGTGTCTAGCGATTTCTCCTGCTGTCTGCCGCCTGTTTCTTCTGGCCTGTAAGGCAATATACCGGTCATCTGCGGGTGTGGTTCCTCGTGGACGACCACTACTAAACCCCCGGATAGCAGTTCCTGTAGTTTGAAATTGTCTCCAAAGTCGTGAAACGATGCTGTGAGCAATTCCGAACTCTGCAGCCATACTTGTCACACTGCGGCTTCCTCCAACTTCCCAATGATTCGACCTCGGGTAAAAGCATCCAGATGTCGTCTAACAGATTAATTATTCGCCATTTCTCGCTGAGGCAGCAACTCGGTATGATTTTAACTGCTATACGGCGTGCAATCTCTTTGCCAGAAATAGTGATCTTACACCGACAACATGCTTTATACTACTCAGACACTCCCCCATTACGTCTACCTGCATATCTGCGCATGTGCTACCGTACATCACCTTACTTAATCTCCTGATTGGTCTTTCTGTCCGCTCTGCCTCTTCGTTCAGCTGATATGCTAATTTTTCGACTTTGTCCTTAATTTTTGCCCACCAGTGTACATTAATCGCGCATGCGTAAAGGTATTATATTGCGTCTATGCATGCACGGAAAGTTTGTAGCTTTGAGGTCCGGATTATAGATCATTTCGGATTATGGACGTCCGGATTAAAGACTTTTGACTGTATATCATATGGGCTTCTTAGGAAAGACATCCCAACATAAGGAATTCTAATTTTACCAGTGCATTACATAATCCATATGGCATCACCTTGAACTGCCGAAGTTCTTGTCCGGTAATGAATGCTGTTTTTTCTCAGTCATCAGGTTGTATCTCTACCTGCCAATATTCATGCTTTAAACCAAGCATCTAAAGCCGCTTGCTTCCAGAAAGAATTTCCAGAATATTGTCAGTCATTAAGCTCTTTAATTAATGATAGTCAATGCAAAATCTAGTTGAACCATCTTTCTTTCTGATCAGAACGCCAAGAGAGGCCCAAAGACTTGCTGAAGGCTAATTTTGCTTTCTTGTATGCCCTTTAGAAAATTTCATACCTCTTCCTGTGTAGCAATCTGCTGACATTGTTGATGTTGCTTCATTGATGGATGATCTCCTGTGTAAATTCTGTGCTGTTCCAGTCTGGTTCGACCTACATCAGAAGAGGAGAAATATAATGACATGTTCTGCAGCACTCCTTTTTTTCATCACTTTGTTGTGGAGTAGTAAGTAACTTACAGTAACTTCCATGTTAGGCTTTCTGTGGACTTGGAAATTGGAGAACTATTGGTTCATTTAATGCAGTTCACTGGAATACATGGTGACGGTCTTTGATAGGTCAATGAGTGTCAAGCCTATTGATACACTTTTAGGGCTGTTACATTTCTTAAGATACTCCATAATACTGGGCCAAAATTTCTGTTTTGAGCTATAGATCCAGGAAGTAAAAATTCTGTTGTTGCTGGTTCTGTGATATTGTTTTGAACTGTGATTTAGTGGACAGTTTTAACACGTTGAATGCCATGCACATTTTACATGGTTGGCCCATGGCATCAACATAAATTTTTTATTATTCGATGCATACTGTATTGAAATATTATCTACAGAAGATAAGGTGAGTTATGTAATCGTGTTTAACCCTCTCAGTGTAAGGCCGTAAAATTCCATATAGAAGGTTGCCTTCCACGTTCATTATACATGAAAATTTCTGCTAGCTTTTAATGTATCTGATTTCAGTTTGGATGTATATTGGAGGAAAAGGAATCAAGGTACAAAATGAGTCATTTTTTAGTTAAAATCAAGAAAATATCACTTATTCATGACATTTTGAGGAACTTTGAAATTTCAAGGCTAAACCCGTAACGCTCAGAGGGTTAATGCATTTTTCCTGGTAGGGGTCACTGCTCACCCCCAAGGAGCTGCAGACCATTTTTGCGATTTATTGTTTAAATTTTTGCGATCTGTTACTCTTCAAAACATTTTAGTAACAATAGTTATTATTTCAAAATTTATCTGTATCGATATTTACTCCAATTATATATTTTTATTGTTGGTCGCGTCGCTGGTCACCAGTGGCCCCCATGACACTGTAGCTAGGTCGAGTGCTGGCCTCCGATGACCCCCACGGCAGTCAACGTGTTAGCTCCTTCATCTTTAGTTTCAAACAGGGTGATGTTTAGAGAGGCAGAATGTTGTTTATTATTTATAAAGTCCAAGGAAATGTTGTATTTCTTTCAAGTCCATCCCGAGTATTCAAGGGTCAGTAATATCTGCCAAGATATGCCGACCCTTGCATACTCGGGTAGGCAGCATTTCCAAATATGATGTTAATGTTTAATCTTCTATTGATGTTGATTTTATCACTGGACACAGTCTGTAGAGTAATGCAGGGCAGCATCTAATTATATTTATCTTCCAGTCGAACTGTACTTTTCCACATGTTGTTAAAATTGGCTCCAGTATCAATGGTTGTATTGCTAGGAACTCCATTGCTGTATCCCATGATGAAGAGTCCACTACTGCTGCCACTCACTGCAGAAATCTGAAGCACTTTAAAATGAGTCTTGTCAATATCTGGCAATCTCTGTCCCAGGGAAATGGCCATTAATTAGTTTCTCTCTTTATGGGGAATGATGTTACTTCCCTTGCCATAGGGGTTCTGCATTTCTTTTATATGTGGCCTCTCCCATTACAGTTTCAGCACTATAGGCTTAGTATATTGCTCTCATATTCTGCTCAAAGCATTGACTTTCCTGGTTAAGTTGTCTAGATGATCAGTCACTTGATCCATTGGCTCCTTTACTTGAGCAGTTCTAATTGGGTGATAGTCTCTATAAGTTGCTTGCAAGGCTGCCTCGAATTTCATGGCATACATGAAAAATGCATTTAGAATTCTTGACATCCACTATTCTCAGGTCTTTCTGTATTTCTGGATCCTAGATGCCATCGATGAAGTACTGCAAGGAGAATATTTCCTTTGTTTCTGTTTGGCAGTCGGGAAAAAGCGAGATGACACAACCTTTTAAAATTCAGGGCAAGCTTCTGGAGTGTTTTTTTTTTTCGGCTTCTGTTGGTGAGATTTTAACTGAAGCCTGCTATAGTCTTTTAAACACTCCTCGCCAAAACGCAGCTTCAAAGTATCGGATAGAGCTTCTAGCCTTTGGTTTTTGGGTTTGGAAGGTATCTGCTCTCAGAGAAGTGACAAATGGACAAGCCTTAACTTGGGAATCCTATCCATTTGCATCTACCAACTATAGAAAACTGAGTCTTGTGTACTTACCAGGAGGTGTTTCTATCCTATGTGCATAGCTTTAAAGTGGGATGAGAAGACATGGCTAGGAATTAAAAAGTGTCAGAATTGTCACCTGGTGTTATTATGGATTTTTTTAAGCTGTCAACTTTCTTGGCGACTGCAGCAGAAACTGTGTAATCAGTTTGTTGTTTGACAGCAGAAACTCTTTCTTCAATTTCTCCAACTTTATATTCAGCCATATCTAGTCTGCCATCCATGGCCTTGAAATTGATTTTTTTTTTAAATTATTTATTATTATTATTATTATGGCAATAATTTCTCTTTTCATTTCTTCGTGACCTGTTTTAGCTTCCATCTTTTCTTAAACTGATTTGATGGCCCCCATTCATCTATTCTTTGAAAGCTTTCATACCTTCTTGGTTGCCTAACATGTCGTTTTAACAGCTTTCATTCCCTCCTTAATGGATTTTTGGCCCACTTTCATCTCTTCTGTGAAAGCAGCAAAAGCTGGCACTAGTTATCTCAGTTGCTTCTCCATCCGTCTCATTACCAGCATTCAGTCCCACTTCTGATGCCAAAAATTGTTGCATGCATATGGATGCATAATAAATTGAATGGACGCAAAGCCAATGATAGATTAATAAAATATTTTTACCAAAAGAAATGCTTTACAACTCTCAAATGCCCCCCCCCAAAAAAAGCCAACTCGTTTACCTGTTCTCAGTAACACAAAGTACTGCAAATTTGACTACAAAAATTAGTTGCGAAAACCATCACCAACTCGGTGATACTTTGCCAGCTTACCGAGATAGCCATTTAACACAATGTTAAATAGACTTGCCCCTAGAATCTGATTTTTACTGCAGAGCTTTGTCTTTCAGACTTTTCGTGTTACGTTATACAAAAGGTACTGCAATTTCACCAATAATTTCATTAAAATTATTTACATGTATAGAAAATTTCATAATAATGTTTAATTTACTAATTTAGGTTTCACAGTATACATTCGCAATGTGCAGTTATCGAGAAAAGAAATCGGAGCCTACAGAGATGATGCAGCTAGACGGGTACACTGTAGATTATGTTGAACCAGTGATGGGTAAGAAGTACACTTTTAGCTTGAATTAAGTGTATATATTGTTGTGTATCCTGTGTTGTTATAAGATTAGAGAAACTAATAGTTGTTTGATTATTTTAAAATAAGCGGAGAATAAGAATTAAATTATTAAAATGTTGTGAATGTTAAAAGTTCCTGATAAAAATTTCCTGCACTTGATTTTCTATTGAAATGTAAAATTTTAAAAAGTACTATTTTAATATTTCATTATGTGAAGAATTTTAAAATTTTGAGAATTAAGTAAAAACTTACTAAATCCATCACATTTTATACCATGCAGATTTAACATGAAAAAAAAATTATGTTTAATCGTATGAAAAAAAAATTATGTTTAATCTTGTGTTCAAAATTTCTGGGAAATCAGCAGAACTCAATAACAAATGTTAACTGGAAACTTAAGAATATATGTAAGAAATATTGTAATAAAAATATATTCGTACAATAAAAAAGAAAAGAAATTTATCTAGTGAAGCAGTTTTTTTCCTCCCTTATAATAATAAGGATTTAATAGTATAATTATAAAGAATAAAATAACATAAAAAAGGAAAGTCATCTTACAGCATCTTAGCACTATGCAAAGGAAATATCCACCTACCTTACTTAAAAATTTCTGTGTCTTCAGTCCGTGGAACACAAAATTCCTTAACAGCATCCAAAAACTTCCTAAAATTATCTGAACTAAAATCTGTATGCTGACATCACCACATGAATTCACACAAATAAGAGTTAAAAATATCCTCTCTTAGTGCCAGTATCTTCCAACGTTCGACCATACACATTTCCGTCATACAAACAGGACACTTATAATGGCTACTAAGTAAACCTTCATTTACATGTCAGTCAATTAATGCTTTTTCCCCTTTCATTCCAAATCGTACAGAAACTTCAAATTAATCTTGCCACATTCAGCCATTTTCCTCTGTAAACCATAAAATAAGCAACGTACTTTCTAACCAACATCCAACACACAAACAAGCCCTTATAAATCTTTTCCCATCAGTCAAATTCACTGCAATCATGCAACCAATTACATCATAACAGGGTTTCCATGATAGTCAACTACCTTGGGTTATTATAAATGAAACAGCAACGTGGCGATAAATGAAACAACAACTTAGCGATAATCCAAAGCAGGGTTCGTACGGTCCTTAAAAGTCCTTAATTTTTTCAAAAATGATTTTTGGTCCTTAAAAGTCCTTAATTTTGGTCTAAATGAATAAACGGTCCTTAATGTTGCTCATTTGACATTTCTTATCATTTCTAATGATTGCCATTCTAAGTGTGAATTGCGATTTCTCATGAATATGGAATTAAAATTACACGGCTCCAATCTGTTGGCGGATTTGCGTTGTAAATGATAAAAAACAGTTAGCTACCCTAGGACGAAAGTATTGGGTGTCTGATTGGCTATTTGCTCAGTCTTTCGAAACAGGTGCTATCCATAAATTTAGGCAGATTGTGATGAAAGCATGAAGCTGGAAGTTCTTTAAGAAGCGAAAGTGATGATGAAGGTGCTTGAGGAAAAAAAAAAAAAAAAAAAAAAAGGGAGTATTCTGAAAATATTTGCCAAAATTAGAACAATCCCAACCTGGAAGGCCACAACCCCTCCGACGCCAATAGGAACGAGATGCCTGGAAAGTGCATTTTCAATAAACTGTGGCTTCATCAAGCTGACTACAAAGACTGGATATTGATGGATGACAATCCTTATAAAGCTAAATGAGGTCTTTGTCTGAAACAAATTGAAATTTCTAGAATGGGAGAGTCAGCGCTGAAAATTCACATGAAAGCTAAGTTTCGTTTTATCATTTCAATTTGTTTTTACACGATTTTGCTTACCTTAATTTCTGTGTTTGAATTAAGCCATAAATTAATTTTTGATCACTTTCTACGGAGTTTATTTTATTTTATTTATTTTATTATTATTTTTTTTTTTTTTTTTTTTTTTTTTTGCACATATATGTATGGGATATCGGAATTATGAGTTTATTTCTGCAGAGGGTCTGTTATCGATTTCGCGGGAAATCTGTTGGCTCCATTTTTATTTTAGGTCGCCAAGGGCGAATTCGGTAACGCTAGCCAAAAAAAAGTGAAGTTCGGAAATACGTTTTGAAGCTTCAATAGACAATTAAGTATTTGGTTTAATCCTATGCGCAAGGTATCCGTTGCATAAGGGATTTGGGTACTTTTGGCGACTTTATGATGAGCATTAAACGGGACATATACGATGGGTAGTTAAACTGGTCATTTTGGTTTGGCGATAATTTTCAAAATTGCACCAAGGCTGCACCGTACTAGAATTATTTTTATAAAAGGAATACTGCTTTCAGAAGAATGTTATTGAATTTTAATATCACATTAGTTATCCAAATAGTTGGTCGATATAAAATTTCATTGTGATAATGATTGAAATTATCTTTTGTTACTAAGCGAATTTCACCTATTTATAACTAGAAATTAAAATAAAAGCTAAATCCTGAATAAAAAGTCAGTGTTGAAATGATAAAGAAAAAATAAAAGAAATGGAAGATTAATAAATTAAAAGAAAATGACCGATAAGCGGAGTGGTTGCTACATGGAGAAAACGTGTTCATGGTATTGCCAATATCGCATTCTCATGGCAATTTTAGCGATGTAACGGAATCTTTGCAGGAATGCTTGCCTTTTGTGATGTCGCAATTTTTTATCGATTTCGTAATGTCGCAATTTTTTATTGATATAGTACATTTTTTAAGTGTTCAAATATAATGCTTAAGAAAAATTCATACATTTTTGTTTAACAATAAAACCAATTATTGCAGAATTTTTATCTTTGCTCCATCATCTGATAGATAAAGAAATAATGTTTTAATTAAAATTTTCTGCTGTGAAGTTCTGCTTTTACCGATGGTTGCAAAATGTCCCAGCAGTTGAAAGAGCCATTGAAATATGAGATGACTTGCTACTATACATTAATTAATTAAGTTGAAATGGGGCAGTTAAAAAAAAAATTCATTGAAATCCATCTCAAATATTTTGGAGGCAACTAAGGATAAAACATTTCTTATAAAATTAAATTTTTTTTCTCTCTCTGTCAAAAATATTATTGCCTTTCCTTGTATATTATCAAAGCGATAAACCACTTATTCCCTTTTTAGCTGAAGATATCTTAAAACTTGTAAATGATTGCTTTTAGCACTTTAAAGTTTTGAAACTAGAATATTCAAAAATAACTAAATCAAAAAATCTTTATAAATTTAATTTAATGATTCAAATTGTTATAATGATAAAAGTAAAGTTTATTTGAGCAGTTAATGAATAAAAAATGCCGCAAGAAGGACATTTAACAAGCTGCAAGTTTTGCATTAGAACAAGGTTAACAATTTGTCTTAACAATGGTACAACACTTAATGGCTAAATGTCCAATAAATTATTCTCTTATTCGAAATGTATCTTGTATAGACCCACAATTGATGGCTAAAAGTCCAGAAAAAGCCCAGAACAAAATGAAAATAGTTCTAACGGTATTAAGGCAGAGTAAACGTGTTTTACAAGATAATTGTGATGAAATTCTGCTGCAGTTTGGAGAGATTCTAGACGAAGTAGTTAAGACAAATTTACATGAATTTTCTACTTTTGATCCTCAAAATCTATCCTTTGACACATTTCTCAATTCTTATTTTCATGATTTTCACTATTCTAAAGTATGGAAAATAGTGAAAATGATTCTTATCTTGTCACATGGACAGGCCTCTGTGGAAAGGGGCTTCTCTGTAAATAAAGCATTTGAAATTGAAAATTTAAGTGACTCATCATACATTTCTCAATGCACAGTATTTGATTACATAAAATTTTCTGGAGGTATCCTTAATATCGAAATTAATAAAGAAATGAGATCAGCAGCAGCTACGATAGATGCTTTTAGCAGATGAAGCCGAGAACAGCAGGAACATTGATTTGTTTATCAAAGCAAATGAACTTAGAAGAATAGTTAAAGAAAAGGAAATAGACATAAATAAATTAGATGTTAAAATATCTGGAAAAAATTCAGATTTTAAAAAAAGCATAAATGTTTTGTAACTTTTATTGTATAGTTTATTATTCTAGTATCTTTCAATAAACCAAAGAAATAAATTGTATGTTTACAAATCTGTTATTTTAATCTGCAAAATATTCTTATATTGCAATTGTAATAGTAGTTGACTGTGTTTAAATAAATATCAAATAAGTTAAATAATAATCATGTAAATCTCTAAAATATCTGTGGCTGTTATTAGTGTAAAATACATTTATACATGTTTTTTAAGAAATTATGTTCTTAATTTAATGTTATCTACTTCATAACTTGTAGGGAGTTAGTTTAATTTTTAAAATTGTTTTATGTTAAGTATTAAATTGAATTTAATAATAGTGCATAATACACACTTCTGTTAGTTTCATAAATGGATAATTGCTTTATTCTATTCATTTTTTTGTTTGTTTGCTGATAGGTCCTTAATTTTTTCTTTGGTGGTCCTTAAAAGTCCTTTAAAGTCCTTAATTTTCATATAAGGAAATGTGTATGAACCCTGCAAAGGACACCCTTATATGTAGGCTAACCCCAAGTACTTACTCTTTTATATAATACCTGACAGTAATCTATTTTATATTAACACTAAGAAAATTATTTTAATTATTTTATAATACCTGGTATGGACTATTATAGTTTATTACCTGTAATAGAAATTATTTTCTCTTTTATAATACTCAACATAAATCTGTTGTGAAAAAGCTGTAAATATTCTTGTATATTATGAAAAAAAATTATTTACTATTGAAAGCTACTTTGTTGGAGCTATATAGTATTGTGCTGTTATTGTTTGGGCTGTTCTGATGGTTTGCAGCGATTTGATGAAACTTCAGTTTATGAACATGTCTGTAGCCAATGATAAGTTTAAATTATTTTTAATTTGAAATCCTTGATGTAACATAATATTTTATGAAAGAAATATAGTATGGGAGCACTGAAAAATAGCTCCCTCCTGTGAAGAATATTTTTTGCTTCGTGCAAAAATATATAAAAGTATTTTGTTACACTGTGTAAATATATCATTTAACTGTGCTACTTGAATTATTTAGAAGAAAGAAATAACACATGTAAGTATAAAGGGTTTATATTCAGCATAATCCAGAAAATTGTCGCAAAAATGCTCATTTGAAAAATGCCTGAAAAATCCTCATTATGATTTTCAAGTTGCAGTATTATTTATTAAGAGCAAAAATTTGATTAAACTTTGTACCCAAAGACAGCTTTTAAATGAAACATAAAAATGTGCTTTTTTTCTTCTTTTTTTTAGTATGAAACTATATTGATTCCTTTTTTCTTTATTATATCTGTATTCTATATATGTGTATTGATGTTATAAAAGTCAGCAAAATATTTTTACATTTTATACATTTCTGTAAATTATGCAGTTGAAATTTTCTCTGCATTCCTTCTAATTTTATAATCCTTTTCCTTAGATCTTGAAGGTGGGAGGTTTTTCTTCAATGCGGTCAAAGAAGGAGATAGTGTTCTCTTTGCCAGTGATGATGAAAATGAATGCCATTTATGGGTTATGGCTATGTACAGAGCAACAGGCCAGTCCCATAAACCAACACCACTTATTCAACCACAGACTAGCAAAAATTCCACTATTTCTAGGCTTCAAGGAGGTATTTATCATGAAAAACATATATCCTATAGTTCAAAATGGTCATTTTTTGTAAAACTGAGAGTCTAGTTTAAAATGTATATTTGTCGTACAGACTTCAATACATTGTATTGTATTTAAGAATGACTGAGACTCTTAACTTCTTTGCTCCTGATGTCAAGTGAACAAAGAGTAAGAATGTTAAACACAATGCAGTGCAGAAGGCATCTAAAGAGCAAAGCTAACCCAGAGATTCTCAGTGCTCCAAACTTACACTGAACTGAACAGCTAATAACAACTGAGACAGCGATCTGTTTCCAGTCTTATATAGTTTTCAACCAGCAACCAGGCTATTTCTAGTATTTTCTGCTTCTTGAAATAACTGGAAGGCATAGGTGGGTTGGATATGGTTACATTTACATATAAAGTTAGTTACAGTTATTCAGTTACAGTACCTATTACGGTGATACAGGGACCAGACCCAAATATCGGTAAATGGTCGTGCGACTTTTAGTGATTCCTCGCCAATGGTGGCATCTTGTTAAATTAAAAAGATAGCCATTTACTCGATGTTAAAGCCCCTGTATTCTTACTTTTCTGGCAAAACAGTGTCTCTCTAGATTTTCATGATGCATTATGCAGGAAAAAATACAACTATTTTACATATAATTGCTCCAAAATTCGTAACAATAATGATCTTTTTTTTTTTTTTTTTTTTTTTTTAATATTGCTGTGGGCTATTAATTTACATTACAATTTCAACTACTTTTGAAGTTTTAATATTAAAAAACAGCATATTTTATGTAGTTCTGATTTTTGTATAATTTTTTTCCTGTTTGAATTAATATATTTAAAACATGACTGTGATTCATATTGGAATATAGATGTATTAGTCATTATTTGTGATCCTGTGTTTCTGTATGGTTGTTTTCTGTTAAAACTAATGTAATCAATTTTTTCTGTAAGAATCTTTATTCTTAGGATGAACTTTTAAGAATTAAAAAAAAGATTTATAAGATTTAATTACTTTTCTGTTAAGTATTATGTGCATTCATGTGTGTGGGTGTATATACTTTTAAACACAATTTTTGGAATTAAACTTCCTACATATGGTTCACTCTTTTTGATACTTCTACTAAATTATATCAGGAGATAATATAATCAATATTTCTTTAGTAATATAATAAATATATATATATATATATATACTCAATTTATATTAAAATAAATAATATATAAATCAAGAGATGATAATAAATCAAAATTAAATTATGAAAGGTTGTCTACCCTGTAAAGAAAATGCACATACAAAATTAAAAGAACATAAACCTTTCAAAGCTTAAACAAAAACAGTTCAACAAAATTAATGAAACTGATATAAAGTACTATAAAAAGTTGTTGAAAATTCTTTAGCATTCGAAGAGAGGACTAATACTAGGAACATTTTAAAAAATTAAAAGAAAATGCCAATTAAGATATTTTAAGTGCTTTAAAAATGCATCAAAGTATTTTTTTTAAGTTTAATTAATCTTCAAAATATAACCTGCTTTGAAGTGACCCCAAAATAAAAATTATAAACATTTCAAAAAGATAAAACAATTCTCAAGTAATAAATTAGAAAAACCATTAGCTAAACCAAAAGCTAATGTCGCAACGCGCAATGAACTGGAAGTTGATCTGTCAGCACTATCCTTATCTTCAGGGCAGATTTTTTGATTTTATTCAGCTTGTAATTCCTTACTAATTGCAGTATTTCATCTTGATGTACTCCATCTTTGATATGATTTAAATCAAATTCCTTGTCATTATAAATATCACGAATACACATCAAATAGTTTTCTGATTGCAATTTTCTAATTTTGACTATGCGTAATGTATGCTTTATGCATGCGCGCATTGAAAGAAATATTTAATAAAGTAAACAATAAATATTAACCTTTTTTTTTTTGTAAATTTTGATACCCTTTAGATCATAATTGCTCTTTTTCATAAATTACAGTTTCAATTTTTTAATTTATAATTTCTGCATGCCTCTTACCAATTTAAACTGATAATCTATAACCCAGAAAACCGATAATCCAGAATCGCTGAAGTCCCGACAAGTTCAGATTAAAGACTTTTTGACTGTTCTTATTATTATTTAAGTGTAAAAATAAAAAAAGTGAAATAAACTTTGAGTAAGATTAGTATACTTGAGTAAGAGCAGAAAAAGTTTTAGAAAGGATAAAAGTAAGTAAACGGTAAAAAGTGTTCAACTACACCGGAACCTGTTTTTATGCAACTATGCAGTCCTTATTCACCACATTAAAAAAAAAAAAAAAAAAAGTTTCAATTTTGTTGCAAAAACTATTTTTTTATAGCTATGCTCAAACCTGTTTTTATGCAGTGAATAGAGACCGCATGCACAGTGAATAGAGATCGCATAAAAAAAATGATTGCTCAAAACAGATGTATAGTAGGACTAGAGTAGAAATGGGCATTTGTTAATAACTGAGGTAGATGAGCTATTTACAAATTTACAAATTTATTTACAATTTTTATGTATCCAGTACATACTTCCAAACTTAAGTAAATCCTATCATAACGAAATTAAAATCAAATCAATATCTAATATTTAATTTATCGAAAAGTAAGGTAATAAAATTGAGAGGAATTTGATTATTAAGTGTGATTTTAAAATGTTGAATTTCTTGATGATTCTCTTCAACTGTTCTGCAAGTATTTTTTATTCTTAGAATAAATGGTTGATAATGGTGTTAGCAGTAGTTTTTTGAAAATATTTAATTCCATTAGTTTATGAGTTTAATGGTAGGAAAGTTAACTCTTTTTTTTTAATCTGAAAGTTTATTTACTTTACTATTGCATTATTATTGTAATTTGTTTTATTTAGTTTTAAACAATATGTATGCAAGATAAAAAAAAAATTGTAAATCAAACTTTTAATATTAATTGGCTGTAGCCCTGTATAATTCTTCATTTTAATTTGGGTATTTCCATTTTCTGTCCCTTATAATATATCTATCTAAACTGCATCATTTCAAATTAATTCATGTCATACAATATCTTACATTATGCTGCTAATGCAGGTATGTTTTAGCCACAGTCAGCAAATAAGATTTTAATTGAAACAAAAACTTTTTTGGGAACCATAACCTTTTTGATTCTTTCCCGGGTTTGCTTTGAACTAAGGTGTTTTCCCTTTCCTCTTTATTTTATTCATTGTATTTGTTTTAACGTATAGAAAAGGTACAAAATATGAAAAAGAAGAAGAAGGGTGTAAATTGCACCCATAATGATGTGTGAATCAGAAAAATACTTCTAAAGAATTGCTTTGTGCAGAAATAATGTGTTGAATAGTCCCAAAGTCTGTGTCAGACTGCATCTACCCAGTTATGCATTCTATATGATCTCACCATTTACAGGCATCAGCCATGATTAAAATTATTTATGCCTTCTCTAGCATATATATATATGTGTGTGTGTGTGTGTGTAAAATATGAAACAAAATTACTAACAGAGTTATTAAACTTAATTGGAACCATCTGGCAATAGATCTTTAATCATAGTTTTTAATTGAAGTTATCCCTTTTCGAGGATATGCTTTGCACCATTTTGCATCACTGCACCATGTTATGTCATGCTTACCCTGCAGTCCATAATGTAAAACCTTTTGTACAATCACTGCTGTGGATTAAAACAAAGATTTATAAATACTGCTGCAGTTGTTACATGTCACTTTTTTGCCTCCTTGCTCTGCCTAGGAAAGTTGTGTCTCTTCACTAAGCTTCTTCTGTATTATCTAAAATTTAAATTGCATATATAAATTATGTGTCCCATTTAGCATTCTTAATGTTATACCATTTAAGTAGAAATGTATTTTCTGAAGAAATTTTTCTGTTTAAAATAAAAATGATGTTTTAATCATCAAACCAGTTCTGATTTTCACTGCAGTTAGATCTATACAGTAGTTTTTCTTAGCCATGACTGAAGTGAATAGGTTTTATTTCCTGCTGAAACTATAACATCATACACACACACATATTATATCATCTGTAGTATAATATGTAATTTCTTGAGAATTGGGTGATAGTTCCAATAACTTGATGAAAGTTTTTCTGTATAGATACAAAAATGACATTTACATACAGATGCCAGGTAAAACTGGACAACTAATTCTTTATGTAACATGACTCCTATGTTAAGTCCTTTTTATTCCTACTTCAATTTATTCCCATTCCTACTTCCATTTACTGTCCTAAAACTACTAACTGTTTATAATATATGAATTTAAAATGTGTTATTTCAAAATTAATCCACGTCATGCCATTTTATGTAATGCATAGCAAAGCGGATATCTTTTCAGTCAGATTCAAGAAACTTTTGACTCTTCCCATGCTTTTTCTAAATGTGCATGCTGTACTTTCGCACTTTCCCATGCTGATGCTAACACATGCTGCTCATCTCTCTGTTTCATCCATTTTCTAAAGATGTAAATTTCAAGAAATGTTATAAAAACTGGGACACTATAGCACTTATAGGGGCCATGATGATGTGTGAAGAATTGTGTAAAAATTGTCATTGTCTAAAGTTGTAAATTTCAAAGAATATCATAAAGATTGAGTACATATTGTACCTATTATGGTGTGAGAAGAAGCATTTGTATATCAAGAATTAGTTGTCCAGCAATAAATTATGTTTTGTATTTAGCCATGTCTCTTCAATAAATATCATCTTTGTATCTACGTATAAGAGAATCTTCGTTAAGTTATTTCAACTATCACTCAATTCTTTAAAAATTACAAATTATATTACAGATATATGTTATCAGCAAAGCATAAAATCTATTATTTCACAGAATGTCTAGTTATTTCATGAAATACTTATCAAGTCAGTTAAAGTATCTAAATTTTAATTCCACACTTCATTCCACACCAAACCAGTTATTTCATAGAATAACGATTGACATCCCATTAAAGTGTAAAATAATTGACACAGTTTATTGCGGTTGCTGTTGTTTGCTACTATATTGCAATATATAAGATTATTTTAAATTTAAGTTCTGAATTCCAAAGGCTGTAATGTGAGAACCACTGGTCAGCACACCATTTTTAACCTACAGTAAAGTGTTTTATAATAATAACGGTATTCATGTTTACATTTTGTGGAAAGAATATGGAATCTATTTCTTTCATTTATATACGGTATCTTTACAATATACGATTATATGATAAATATAATGTGTAGACATTCTGTAGCCAAATCTTTTTTTTTTTTTCCATCAGACTCTCGGAAATTCATTCTTCGACATGTCAGAACAAGACAATGAGTAACTGGTTGAAAATACGTTAAAATGTGCCATAAACAAAATATGTATAATTTGTTCCCAAAATTGCAGTATGATGTAATGAGCCTATAGCCATAATATGTTAAGAAGACTATATTTTGGAAGACCTAGTTGTACAGAAGATCTGCAAATTGTGTTATAATGAACTGAATGTTCGTTCATAAGGAAAAAGAAAACTTTAAAAAATGTTTGGAAATTAAAGCTAAGAATATGAAATCAATGTCAGATAAATTTGAATCTGAAAGCTTTCTGAGGTTTACGATCCATATCTCAATACCTGAAACGGACAAAGGAAAAGGTAACACAAGATCAATTTTTGCTGTTATTGGCTCGATTGACAAAATTCAACTTATGTTTTTCATGTCTCGAAGACACAACTAGATGTATTACTAGATTTACATATAGCATTTACATTAGGATATGTATTGCTAGATTTACATATAGCATTGTTCTAACTTAGGTATTTTGACATAAAATTGAACATTTTGTGAAATGACATGCCAATTTTTTTCCATATTTCAATTCTACGACTCATTATGCCAAACTGCAAAGTTTTGTAATAATCACATGAGTAGTTTTTAAAAAATTAGCCTCTCAAAATTTTAGTTCCTCCATGTTAATTGAATTTGTTATATATTTATATTAATCTCACATTTTTTGTTAAACTTATTTGATTCTTCATGTCACATTTTTAAATTTAGGTTCATTCCAAATAAAATTTGTCCATTTTTTATTTATTTTAAAAATTTGTATTTTAAAAATTTTTTAAATTTTTGAAAAAAATTTGTGTTACAATTATAAAAGTTTTACCATCATCTTAAAGTAGATGTATTTCTAAACATGCCTACAAAAAATTAGAAATTTTGGAATATTTGATAAAAGCGATAATAGCATCAAATGTAGTTTAGGCACTTTGTTAAAATGATTTGAATGTAGGAATGATGTAACTTTTTTCGCTAATGCACAGTGTAAAAAGGGAAAGGAAAATAGGTTGCCATATATTAAGCTCACCAAGTGAATTATTCTTTGGTGTAAGATGAAAAAAATTTGGCAAGATAAATTTTTCAATTTTTCCGTAAATTTCACACTATGAGAAGGGCCATTTTGGATAGAGTTGTGAAAGAGTCCTTTATAGTGTAACAATAATTTTTTAACAGGTTTTAAGTTACACATGAACATTACATTTAATTTTAAGAAAATTACAAAGCAAGAGTCTGGTATAACCTATCAGGTTAATTACTTGGCTACTACATGGAGTATTTCACTGGCTACTCACCAGAGAGCAACGAGGGTGCAACCATGCAAAAGTGCAAAATGCGCTTTTTCAGCTGATGATGATGGTTCGGTAAAACCATCGAAACTGGTCCTATAAAAAAATTGAAAATATGACGCTGATTTTTGTTGTTTGACTTCTGAAACACTATTGTATGTCTGTTGATGCAAAATCCTTCCCCCTCCTCTAATATTTTTAATACATATCTAACACTGATTTCAAATGTACGTAAAATAGTCAGAAAAATACATAAGACGTATCTAGTATTCTTCCTGCTAATTTGAAAATAGTTTTATATTGTCTGTTTTAAAAATTTTAAGTTTCTAAATGGGTTAACCCTTTCCAGCATGCTACCTTTTAAAATCGGAGTTTTGATTAAAAAAAAAAAAAAAAAAAAAAGGTAGGCAGTCTAATTAGGCCTAGAGGAGTACACAAGTAAAATTTTGTGAAGATAGCACTTATCGTTTTAATTCTGTGGGTGTGCCCAAAGTGGGCATGCTGATTGAATAGAACTTTGGAAAGAGTGCTGAAACGAGCATTGTTGTCAATGAACTGACCGATGAGATGTGAAGAAACAAAGAATACAGACTCTCAGTTGTCCTAGATTATCGGAGAGCCCGGTCTGGGCACACCTAGGGTTCACCGTTTGATTTTAGGCAAGATTTCAAGGTAAAAATTTAAAACTAATATAGAATATGGAGATTAGCATACGGCCAAAAAAATAACGTAGAAATTTTCAAACAATTCCTTTTATACCCTAAAAAAATCTGGAAGATTTCTTTGAAAAATGAGGCTCTAAAAAACTAAACATGGCTAAAGTATATACACTGCTTTGTGTTGAGCTGCCATGTACTGTAAATAAAGAAGGTTCAGAGTAACCTATAGTAACATGTAAATCCTTTTTCATTCAATTTTTCTGTGCGTACAGAAGGAAATTTCCAGACTGGACAAACTGTGCCGCAAAGGGTTAATAAAAAATTCTAAGTAGGTTTATTTGAACTCAAGTTAGTTGTTAGCAGTATTAAATTAGTTATTAGGTGTTAGTAATTAGTAGCTGTTAGCAGTATAAATTAGTTTGTATTTGTTAGCAATATTAATGTAATGAACTTGATATCTTTCGTATTTCATTAAGCAAAATGTTTATTTATCTAATGTAGACTTTCTTTGTTAAGTGAGTAGGGGAAAAAGAAGCTCTATTGTGAAGAATTTCAGCTTATTTAGATCTGCAGTCGTAGTTGATTCTAATATTAAAGTTACTAGCTTCATAATTATCATTTAGTAGCATAGGATTTCTTTGAACAGTATTATTAATCTTCCCCTCCCCCTCCAAAACAATAGTACTGGTATGTTTATATATCAGTTTGCTTTTACGTGAAGACCTTATTGTGTCGATTCATTCATTAGAAATATGATTTTTTTGCTTCCATGAAAAGTGCCATTATGAATTTCTATAAGTGGTCATGGTAATTAGTATTTGTAGTTTTTTAGGGGAGGAGGTCCCCATATAAATTAAATGCTATTTATCTGAGCAAAAACTGTTCAGTTTGATCAAAACAGGAGTTCCAATTCTTTACCTCTAAGTTACAGGTATATAGGCATATAACTCACTACACAGATATTGTCTGCTTTTTAAAATAAATTCTTGTTTTTAACATAGATGCAGATCGAGCTCGCAAACATGGTATGGATGAATTCATATCAGCAGATCCTTGTAAATTTGCTCATCACACATTATTTAGAACTCTTCAAACCACAACACTTGATTATCGTCTAAATGACCCATATTGTTCCTTGGTATGTATATTATGTATGAATTTTGCAATGCCTTTTTTATAAGAAACGTGAGAGTATTTAACTGTTGATGGTTGTCATGTAATTTTATCTCATCATTGAAGGTAAAAGTTTAATGTAAATATTAAGAGCATAAAAAGATGCTTTTAATATTTAGCAGAATTGGAATTAACAGTAATAATTGTTGATTTGGCTGTAGCAAATACTATTTAACTTGTTAGTATGTAGTTAGTGATATATGAAATAATGAGTAATATTGGTAATTATTAATGAATCTGTGCACATATTTGATATGATTGAAACTTGAACAAATGGAAAAAAGAATGACTAGTAGATTTTGAGTTTATGGCTTTGAGCTTGTTTACTTTGAAGATGTTTCGTCATTATCAGTTTAGACTTTGAGCTTTCATGACAGAGCATTTTCTGCATAAATGGAATTTACCCCTTTCTCGCATGCATATACAGAGTATGTATTGACAGTTAATAAAAAATATTGAGCCAAGAACATACAGAATTAACCCATGCTATCTTTTTTATAGTGAAAGAAAGAAATATTCCACTTTTTAACTGAGGTACACATTATTGGATGTTCTTATCTTGCTTATAATAGAGTTTTTTCCTTGGTCAGATCTTCCTTGGTCAGGTCTTTTGATTGATTGTAATTAGCAGAATAATGATAAACTGAACTGTTTGTTCCTTTAAATGAATATAATATATGGAAGATAGAACCTTCCTTTATAGAGAGTTAATTAAAAAATTTTTTATAAAGTTTTAATTAAGCAAAATATTTTTATTATGTAGATATGAATCAAGTCATCTTAGAACTGCATTTTGTTACTTAAGATGAAGATAGAACCTTTCTTTTCTCATTTTTGGAAGTTGGAGTAGATTCTTATTCTTGAAGCACTTAGCAATAGCATGAAGTTCCATCATGTAATATTTTCAAATATGTACCAAATCACATATTGTTACTATTTAAGTTCTAATCTGTAGTCACTTTGCTCTGTGTAGTTGTTAGCTAAGAGTGGTTACTATATAACTAGGATTGAGATTTGAATTCTTGATAGGGCATGGATATTTATGACTTTGTGGAATAGAGGGTAATGAAAATCTGTACTTGAAAAATTTGAAATTATAATGTCTATGCAGAACAAAGGGATTTAAATTTTTCAGTCCAGAATCCTTTCTAAAGACTGGTGTTAAGGGAAGAGGACTTATGATAACTAAGATTTCTCTCCTTATAAATGTCCTTAATCAAAATTGATAAAGTAACCCTGATTGCTTTGCTTTTGTCAGATTATCCAAGTCAGTTAGTAATGTATATTATGTTCATCATATGTAATAATGTACGTGCATATTCTGTGTTTTGGAATTTTTCTAGTTTCTGTGTTTCAGAAGTAGGGCTACTAAACAGGAGGAATTTGCTGGTTACATATTAATTAGTGTGAAAATAAATGTTTTATTGATTTACTTACTGATTTCTTTGTAATAAAATGCAAAATGATTAAATAACTTTCCCTAAAAAATCTAGTGAAAAGTATGGTAGAATTCTCATTCATTTACAATATATTGCATTGTGTTAATGATGATATAGATTCAGTTCTTTAACAATTAATTCAATTTTGTTTTCAGCTTTCTCTGAATAAAAACTTAATTTTATATTTTTATTGGTGTTAGAAACTAAAATTCAGTTTCAAAATCCATCCAAACTCATAGGTGTGGAAACACATTTCATAGCAAATGCAAAATATGCATACATACATGCACTCATATGTATTACCAAAGGAAGTTATTGTAGGCATACAAATGAAACTAAATATACATAGAATGAAAACATAAATTGATTAATGACAATATAATAGTATTGCAGATGAATAAAATAGCAATACATTACTATTAAGGAGGAAGAAAAAGTCAATTTTCTTTTGATTAATTTACTCTGACATGGGAGAAACCTGCTGAGAATGTTTTATTTCTAAAATTTTACTTTGCTCTGATGCTGTTAGTAATAAATAAAATCTTGTGTGGTAGAAAGAAATGTGTCATTTCTTAAATTTCACATAAACTGTATTATATAGTTTAGATTAAAATTCAGCAATATTAGAGAAAAATTTTCTTTGTTTGAATTTATCCATTCATCATCAAAATTTCAAAATAGGTTACTGCTTGCAGTGGGAAAGGGGTTGACTGCTTGTTACAGTGTTTTTAAATGATGATGTAGATTCAACTGTGTAATTAATTTTATATTTTAGTTTATATTTATGTTTTATTCTTTTTAAATAATCTTGCTATTTTTATTATATGAATAGAAATTTAGGTTTAGACTCTTTCTAAATTTTCAAATGTGAAAAGATTTTGTAATGAGTATACAAAAATACACATATATAATTACCAAAACATATTTCAAGCATACAATTGAGGTTTCTTAAATTATATAGAAAATGAAAATATTTAAATGAGTAATATGAGGGTTAATCTATGAATAAATATGGATAAATATAAATTACATTAAATTCTTCCCTTTTTTTCCCACTATAGTGAAAGAAACCTATTTCTTCTGGCTGGTTCCTCTGTGGTTTATCCCCACTGCGGAAGAAATTTGCCAATTTGCCAACTCTAAAAAGAGCTTTGAAAATATTACTTCTGAATAATAATTTTCATAATAGCAAAACTGTTATGCATATATAAATAGAGGTTTGCTAAAAATATAAATAAAAATTTTCTACTTCATAAAACAATTTTACTTGGTGAAAAATTGATGCTTTTTTAATTAATGAAGAGATACCTGTTGCCAAAGACACCAGCTGCTATAATTGTTGGCACAAAATCTAACTGGAGACGGGAGTAGTAATCTTAATGAAATTTTCATATGCTCTTTTAATTTATATTAATTTATTTTGAATTTAAATGCAAAAACAAAGGTAAATACAGAAATTCACATTTAAAATGTATCTTTATATTAAATTTTAAATTTACCGTATTTGACGGCATATAAGACACACTTTTTTTCCTAAATTTGGTCTCAAAAAGTACTGGTCTTATGGAAGGGTCACAAGAATTCAAACTGAATGATATTTTAGCCCGGATAAGGTAATGAGTACACACAAAACTTTTTCTACATCTGCCATAATTATTTACCGTGCGTGAAAACTGTCGCCCAAAAACGCCAAAGCTCGAAGCTTATGTCGAACTTCAAACAGGTTCGACAGTCACATTATGTCTAAGGAGCCTTTCCTTCTTTACATAGACATTCTTTGACTCAGCCGACACAAGTCTCGGTATCGGTGCTACTCTGTATAAACGTGTCGGTATTGGTGCTTAAAACTATTTGTTTTAAAAAATAACCTGGAAAATATGACTACAGGAAATGAGATTAAGCTATACAATTCAGTATAAACTACGCCAAAGTGCATGGAAACAGAGCAGCAGCAAGGCATTTTGGTCCACCACCTACCGACTGCAGGAAGATCAACTGAAGACTGCTAAAAAACAAAAAAACCTCGATGCCCAGCTCCATCGGGCCTGAACATGAAGATGCTAAAAATGTGGGTGAAACAAGATAAAATCTGGATAAGTGTTCACCAAAATAATAATCAACAAGGCCAAAGGATTTGCAGAAAAGCATGGGAATCAGACTTTTCAGGGTCTAAGGCTGGTGCTACAGGTTCATGAAAAGGCAGGCTTATCAATGCACACAAAAAAAAACTATTGCCACAGAAAATTGCCAGCAGATTAGAAGAAAAAACTAGCATCTAGGTTTGTTATAAATGCACGCACGAAAACTTCTTTTGAGCCGGTCAAATATAGGAAACATGGATGAAAATTCACTCGCATTTGACGTATATCCAACAAGACTGTGAGTATTAAAGGGTCTAAATCAATAACCATAAAAACCAGGTCATGAAAAAACATGATATATGGTAGTTCTACATGTTGTGCTGTGGCACAAAACTACCGCCGTTTCATATTCAAAAGGAAAACTCATCCGAAAAAAAAACTTCCAAAGGGTGTAATGTTATGTTCATTCGAAAAAAAAGGCGAATGGACGAAGTTGAATGAAACTGTGGTTACAGACGTATGGGCGAGGCGACCGGACTGTTAAGAAAACCCTCTCTTTTGGTTTGGATCAGTTGTGCCATAGACTGAAACCATAAAGAATAAAGCGAGAGAATTAAAAACCCAGGTAGCTGTCATTCTGGTGGACTGACTAGCAATTGCAGCCTTTAGATGTATAGATGAATAAGCCATTAAGGAAAAGTACGAGAACGATGGAACAAGTGGATAGGAGAGCCACATCATGCCCTCACACTCTCAGGTAGAATGAAGCGGCCCTCTATTTCACAAATGTGCGAGAGGGTAAAAAGATCTTGGGAGGACATAAAGGCTCAAGTAATTGTTAAGTCCTTTAAGAAGTGCAGAATCGGTAATGCTCTTGACGGAACAGAAGACGACGCATTATTCGAAGAAAGTGATACTAGCGATGACGAAAACAGTAGTGATGATGATTTTCTCGTTTTCACGGATTTGATAGTGAAAAGGATTGTTATGGTTTGAAAGTGATTAAAGTCTAATTTCATGATAGGCAAGGTTTTCCTTGAATCTGTGTTTTGTTGTTTTGCTTTATTTGTATATGTTTGATTTGCTTGCGTTCATTCATTTATTCATTATGAAATTTACATATCATTTTCAAATAGCTTGCCGTTGTTAATGTTCCTTAATAAAAATATGTTTGGTAATTGCATTCAATGATTGTTTATTTGGCTTTTATGAAACATGAGAACTAAAAGAAACCATATTTTAAGTTATTGTGGTACCGTGCTGTCACGCGGACTATTGAAACTTTTCCCCCTTGTGTGTGGCCTTTTAAATAAGGGTGCATCCTATACCGTCAAATACAATAATTGTGGATATGTAACGATCATTTAAAATATGAAAAGAAGTATAAAAACTCATGTTTGGTCATTAAATACTCACCGAAATCATATAAAACATGAATTATGTGAAGAAAGACTGAGGAAGAAATCAAACAAAGAAATGACATTCATAGTCTGGGTAATCGGTTCCACCAATAACTCTGATTGTTTCAAATAAAACTAATCGAGGAATTAAATAAATAAAGTACCAAATATTTTTCCTCCCTTTTTTTCAGTTATTAAAATGTGATTAGTAAATTCAAATATCTTAATTAAAAATAATTTTATTAAAAATGCATATTCTTATGCATATCCTACCAGCGGCCGAGCGGTAAAGTTGCTGAACACTTGTAGTTCGGTCTGAGGTTCAAATCCCGTGAATGGGCTGGCTGCATGGGCGTTTCCGTGGTTTTCTCCATGTGTAACGTGTATACGAGCCAGTTTACCTTAAAAAGTCCTCCACAAAGGCATCCCTCCCCTTAGGCAGATAGCCCTCGAGGCTTTGCCATAATCACACACACACACTTATACTTTATATCAAATTTTTTATCTACATGGATATTTATCATTTGCATGCTTCTGGTTATAGTCACTATATTATAGTCACTTCTGGTTATAGTTTTGATAAACATAGCTAAACTTAGTGTTTTATATTGATTTTTCTTTTTAATTTCTTGAATTGGTGACTCATCTTTTTCTCAGCCTGTTTTTTCAAATGATGCCCCTTCTTCATGAAATTTCACTGTAGTGATCAGCAGAATATTTAAACAAACCTTTTATTAAAATTTAATTATGCACAGCTCATACTTACAATTTAATCTCAGATACTTGTGGAATTTAAGCTAACATAGTTAAAGCTAAAGTATTGATAATGTAATATTAAATTTAATAATAATTTATGCATTATCAGTTTATTTATCAAAAATTAATAGAAGTTAATTCAACATTAAATTTTATAAATGTCCACTGCTTTCTTATGCTACATAATTTCCATATTAAGAACAGCATTTGTGATCACATTGAACTGCAGTCAGAATGGCATCTTTCACATACTTCACACTTAAGACTTTGAATTGTCTGATAATTGTATGAGCTGTTACCTAACCAGAGTAAAAGAAATTCAGATTATGCCTTGTCAGAGCTTCTTTCATCTCATTCATCAATTACTGGAGCTCAGAATTCAAGAACAAACAGCCCAATCATCATACATATACAATGAGGAGTCCCATGAAAAATTCTAGTGTATTTCATACTGTGTTGCTTTAAAACCACATAAAATAAATTACACAGAAAGAGACATAAAGAAAAATTGCATAAAGACCAAAAAAAAAAAAAAAAGTATTTAAAAAAAAATTTAATGTCCTAAGTTTCTCTAGAGCTTGTTTAAAGTTTTGGCTTATTTTTCGAACATTGTTGTGTTGTGTTGCATTCTTATGTGTACTAAATATATAAATATGGAGTATTCACATACAGTGTTGCTGTATTATGCAGCAAACCAAACTTTCTTTTTAAAAAGTTTAATATTATGATTTGTGAATTATATTTTTTTACAATTTGAATACTGCAAAGCAGTGTGTAAAAGGGGGGGAGTGAACAAATTTGTATAATGCATTTGGAAAGTATCTGTGCCCCAGCATTACTTCTAAGAATAATGTTGTTTCAGTGTAATGAAATGGAACTAAATACTTCATGTCATAAAGTAGCACATATACACAACCAACTGTTGAATGAAACATGAAATATGGGAGGCCATCAAATCAGTCATTCATTAAAAACTGAAGAGAGTGATCTGAAGGATTTGAGGCACATGCACTTGTATGTCCAACATGAAGGACCATGTACAAATCTCTAGAACAATCTAGCCAGATAAATTTAGTGCATTACATAAAATTATGAGGGTTAATGAATTAAGTAGAAGAACTTAAATCTGTATTCAAAAGGATATGTGCAAAATATTTAATTTATTTAAAAATGAACATTAGGTACTTAAAATTCATTATTACTATATATCCTGATCACGGTTCAGATGGGATAGTGGTTGGTGTTGCTGTCTGCCATACTGAAATGCTTGGGTTTGAATCCCAGAGAAGACAAGGGTGTTTCTAAGTATATAGTGTCTGAGTGGCAAAGGTGCACACATAATGCACAGTGAAATGAAGTCTTGTCAAGAGATTGATGGTAGAGGAAGAGGAATGAGAAACCTTTGAAACCGCAACTCATGGTGTGCCATCTCGAAATTCAAACTGAGATGGAAGCTTAGCTATTAGGAGGGCCTGGTGATGCCTAATGTGCCTACTTGGATGCTCAGGTGTCAGCCTTGCTTCAGCTTGTCGTGTATATCCTGATCCAGTTATATTAGAATGTTGGAAGAAATGCTATAGAAATCCTGAGTGTATCCTCCTTATATATTCTTTCTCGAAGGAAAAGATATGTAATGCAAGATTTAAAAGAAGTGTATTTGAGTAAATGTAAAAAAGAATATTTAAATTGATTGACATGGAGGTCTAAAATTGTAGCTTATATATCATTGTACATAGTTGCAACTGTCCTGGTTTTTCATCACATTTTCCCACATCATGGTAGATCAGTTTTTAACCTTTACTAATAAAAACTACTGAGGAAAATGTTTTCAAGAATTAATAAATCTTGGATTATCCAAATTCCATTATTCCACTCCCATTGATTTTCAGCATAATTTTTCCTATTAAATTTTATTTAATCAGAATTTTCTTAATATACTGGAAGACATTTGTAAAACTTTTTATGAAAATTCAACCTATGCTTAATCAGTTAATATTGGCATTTAATTTGGTTTTACATCAATAAAAAGCATCTTGCTCTGTTTATCCACACAATAAATAGTATGTACATAAATCATTATTTTCATTGTATTTAAAAATGCTTTGATAAATAAAAAGCTTTTCTTCCTTATTCACGATTTTCTTAATATAAAAGTGTAAAAAAATTTACAAAATGAAATTAGCCGAAGAACATGTAAGTTAAATGTAATACATTTTATATTATAATCATATTAAAAATAGTTCAGTAATTGAATCATATAATATAAAGTGAATTTAAATTATTTTTGAGTTGTTTTAAATAGCATCACTGTGTAGTGCAAAAGTCTTCTGAAAACTCCCAATTTTCATGTGACAACCTCGTGGCTGTTCGTATTTCAAGATCGATCACTATTCAGTATTTAGGCCATGATTTTAGAGCAATAAACTTTAAATAAGTAGAAAGGATTCACATAATATATTTGTATGTTTTGGCAAAATGAATGCAGGAAGTTATGTAGTATAATTTAATTGAAATGTTAAGGATTCAGTTTTGACATGCTAATAAGTGTATTTCTCTCTACCTAGTGCAAAAGATGTTATAGCACTAATTTTATTGTTATTTGTGCTATATCTTTCCATTTAATTCAAAAGTATATCTTGATTATAATGTAAATTTTTTTTATATTTGCGATAGATGTTTTAAACTGTCATATCGTTTTAAATAATTGTGCATAATATTGTTGAAACATTTGTTTTAGGTTTGTCAATAGACTTATGTTCTGTGAGAGCCCTTTAAAATAAAAAGGTGATATGTACAATTCTAAAGACTTCATTACTGTATATGTTATACGTTTTCAAAATTTGAAACAGTTCTTAAGGCAGATATTATGAAGATGTTAATAAATTTAATTAGACATTTTTGTTGGGCCTCAAGTAATTCTAGAAAAAATAAATAGGAATTTGTTGCATTATCCAACATACTGGTTGATATATTAACAGCATAACAACTGCACTTTAATAGGTATTCTGAACCATATTTTGTAATGTTTTAGAATTTATGCTTCATATTTAATTAAAAAAATTAATGAATTATTTTATGTGAATGTATTATTTCAGGGATGGTTCAGTCCAGGGCAAGTTTTTGTTCTTGATGAGTATTGTGCTCGCTATGGAGTTCGCAGTTGTTATCGTCATCTCTGTTACCTGCATGACTTATTGGATAGAGCAGAGAAATCAATCATGATTGACCCTACTCTAATACATTACAGTTTTGCATTTTGTGCCTCGCATGTTCATGGAAACAGGTTAGTTACATATGTTCTTTTGTTTATTTTTTAATTTATGGTAATATTTGGTTTATATTTGCCAATAAACAATATTTTACTTATGTAATTTTTTAATTGTTGCTGCACTATAGAATTCTTATAGTTAGAAACTTAAGCAATGTTTTTGTGTTTGTTTTTTACATTAATAAATCAGATATGAAATATTTTCTTAGTTCTATATAAAAAAAGTTATTTAAATGCATTTATTGCAGAATTTTCTCACAGCAAGTTAGGAGTATTTTTAAAGTTACAACCTTTTTTTTTTTTTTTTTTTTTTTTTAATTTGTTTCCATCCTACTCTGAATTAAGTTATTACATTACTGAATACTTTTATAAAAGCCCATTTTTAAAGATTGCAGATAATGCATCTTTTACTTCTGTTTTATTTGTACTTATACAAACATGAAGTTCGTTCTTTCTTTAATATTGTACAATATTGTACTGATTGTATCTGATAATTGTATCTTTAAATAACATTTCTGTGTTAAAAATAATCTTTTTTGATATCTTTCATAATGAAAACAATATTTTAAAATATCAGTAAATTTAAAATATATGTATTTTTTAAAGATATATTTGCTTTAATTTTCGGTTGAAGAATAGCCTTAACATATTCCACTCAAAGCGTGTTTTTTTCATTGCGCAATGTCTTATTTGAAGTGTTTGGAGTTTTCTTTCTTATGTGCTAATTCTATTAAGACTTGTCATCTGCTTCCTGTGGATGTTTTAGTAAGTTACACATTCTGTCAGATTGATTGTATTGCAATTATTACTTGTAAGGCTTTATAAGGCAATTTTCAAACTATGTATTTTTATGGGTAAAATACTGATGCTAATTTCACACTTCACACACAAAAGTACTGCCCCACCAGGACAGGTTGCCACAGATGTGAGGTATGTTATAATTTTTTTTTTGCATGTTTATCCATATTGTCTTCTCCTGCTTTTGCACAACACAAGTTTCTCTCATATTGATCTTACTCCTGTTTCCCTGATCATTTGAATTTTTTTTTTTTTTATTATTATTTTCTTTCTGTTCAGTATATTTGTGCTAGTTTGCATGGTTTATGTGTGTTTAAAGATGTTATTTCCCATATTTAGATTAGTTTTTATATATTATGAAAAAAGGTTTGTTTAATAATATATAAAGAATTTTTTAAGTGATGTATAGCATTAATAGATATCCATATAATGTTTCTTTCTGTATTTGTCTTTAAGAGTTTGATATAGCTCTGCTTTAAATGGTATTTTAAAGCTAGCAGTTAGATTACCATTGTCCAAATTTTATCATATTATTTTAAATCCAAATAACCTGAAATTTATGAAAAAAAGAAGAAGAAGTAGAAGCATGATTAAAGCTAATGCAAAGTCTTTGTCATTGTTGCTTTTTATACTGATTTAGTGCAATGCATTTTCTGGCGTGATTTGTACTCGTAAGAACTGTAAATAATCTGAAATTTATTTTTTTAATAAAAAAGAAGAAGAAGCAGGTCTAAAACTAATGCAAAGTCTTTGTCATTGCTGTTTTTTGTACTGATTTAATCCAATGTTTTTTACAGAATGAATTGTACTCATAAGTTGAATGATACCCCCTGGATATTTGAAAATAGTTAAAAATTGAAAAAAAAATCTCTCCATCATTCGAAGAGCATTACAGTTTCCAATTTTTAGTATTGATCAACTTATAAAATACATTATTATATTTATGTTTCATCAGCGTAACTTTTATCAAAGTTAACTTAGCTGTTTTTGTTGAACCTTTAAGATATAAGATTTTTTGCATCTTTGTTTTAATAATATTTACTAACAACTAATTGAAGGTGCTTTCATTGTTTATTTTTTCATAAGCTGAATAACTAAATTGCATAGATCCAGTTTTTATAATCTGAATAACTTTCTTAAATGATCTTTTTTTTTTTTTATTAAATCTTGTTAGAATTCAGAATATTATTGTTCAATGAAAGTTGAAATTCTATTTCATGATAACCTAGAATAGTGCTTTCCAAACCTTTTGACTTGCAAAGCCCTTTTTAGAATTAGCAAAAGCTATAGATAGTAAAGAGAGTAAATAGTTGTGCTATATCCGTAAAATGAAATTGTATTTTAAAGTTTTTAATTTTAAAGTATAATTAAATCCATTTATTCTTAACATGATATTATGAAAAGGTAGCCATACATAAAGGTTCTTCCATACTTCAATAAAACATACCAATATGTGTTATTTTTATAAGTATTTTATATTATTCCTGAAAGTTTTATTAAAATCATTAAATTAAATTGGGTTTCTGCAAGTTAATCATTAAATGCAGTTCAGTTCAAACAAATATTTGCACACTGCTTGGTATTTGAAGTTTTTGTTACTCTATGTAAAAGACGATTACAATTTAATTATATTACTATGCAACTGTAGGCTGCATAGTGCACTGCAGGCTTACGCTAAGATATAACATTAAAAAAAAAAAAGTAAAAACATTTAATGAGACACCAGTGGTTGCTTTTTCCAGCACATTCTTGTGTACATGTCAGTGCATAAAGCCTCGTACTTTAGTGTGCAGCAGGAGAGACTTATGGTGGCTTTCCACATTCTTCACATATTTGTAATAGAGTTTGTTTTTAAGAAGTTACTATTATACAGTCAAAAGTCGTTAATCTGGACTCGTCGGGACTTCAGCTATTCCGGATTATCGATTTTTCCGGATTATAGATCATCAGTTTAAATCTGGTAAGATGGCATGCAGAAATTACAAAATTAAAAATATGAAACCGTAATTTATGAAATAAAGAACAATTATGATCTAAAGGGTATCAAAATTTTAAAAAAGAAAAAGCTTAATATTTATTTGTTTACTTTATTAAACATTTTCTTCAACGTAAGTTGCTTCGTTTCATGTGATAATACTTTCTCTTTAATTCTATTAAACAGACATAATTTCTTGTTCAGTTACAAAGTTCCGCCGTTCAAGTCCTATAATTGCTGTGTCAAGAACACCGACTAATTTGTCAATCGAAATTTTTTTTGTTTTTCAATAACCTCTGTCACTTTTCTTCGCTATCGGAAGCGAATTATAATGACGAGGAACTTGTTTTAAATCATATTAAAGACGGAGTACATCGAGATGAAATACTACACTTAGTAAGGAATTATAAGCCAAATAAAATAAAAACATCTGCCCTGAAGATAAGGATAGTGCTGACAGATCAACTTCCAATCCGCGGCGTGAAATTGATAAACAGATTTCGGATTTCAAAACATACTTTCGCTTTGTAGATACAAATTACATATTAGTAAATATATATTGGAAATTCTATTTGACATAATCGAAAGTTCAAGCTTTTTTTTTTTATGACATTGCTCTAACAGTCTGCAAAAAATAATAAGCCGGATCCAATTTGAAGATTAAGGAACAACGCAATCTGCAACATTAACTGAATTAGATAATTTTAGCTTAGCGTATAACTCCCTTTACACATTAAACGCGCGTGCACACAAACATATTCGCAGCCGTAAAGGTCTTACGCGCTCTCGTAAACGCCAGTGCGCATGCGTGAGCGCGACGCATGCGCAGAAAGTTTGTAGCTTTGAGGTCCGGATTATGGGTGTCCGAATTAACGACTTTTGACTGTATAAAGTTTGTTATTTTCATTATCACCTTTATTAAAGAATGCTTACTAGTTACAAAACTAAAATCTTAAAGAAATCAGATACTCAGAAAGTTTCATGGAAGAATCACTAAGAAATCACAATATTATTGTATTATTGCTATGAATTGACTGCAAATCCACAAGCAACCTGCCTTTATATTGGGCCAAGTTTTAAGAAGCTTTGAGTGGATTCCAGTAAGTCTTATCTTCTAGCCTCGTTAAGTGGCATCAAAGTGATGACTCTCAACAGTTATTATAAAATCTTAAAATTAGATGGGAAATGTCATTATATGTAGAAGTAATATATAAGTTCTTATGAATTATGGAATTCCTAATGAACTGTGAAACATTAACTATGATTCTGAGAGCCTCTATCTGGTAAATTTGTAGATGATTTTTCAAGAATTCTAAAAGGTTTGAGAACGAGTAAGAGGTGTCTTGATCATGCAGTTCCAAGTGAAGGCCAAGCATTGTTTGCTAGTGGAAACATGAAACTAAACTAATTTTCACCTTAAAAATATAGTTTCTAAGTTTCTGTTTTTGTTTCAACTTTTTTTTTCTTATTCTCTTATCAGTCCAGATGTTTGCTCTAAAGGACTATTAATTTTGTTTTGGCATTTTGCATTGATTCACTTTTTAAATTGATGCCACCAGATATTATAGCCCTGTATTATATTTACGGAAATTAAATAATGAAGAATCTGCGTAAATGTATGCATGTTTCTCGCATTGTGATAAAACAGCGATACCTGGAGCCATCAAATTTTGAGTAACATACGTTTCTACCCAAATGTGGGCATCTGGAATTGTTTTATTATCTATTTCATATTTTGTGAAACTTTAATGAATTTTTGATTAACAAACCCAATGATTTCAAAGAGAGCAATTGGCAACACCGTATGAAAAAAAAAATTTTTTTTTATCTGTAGCATGCTAGACTGTGTATCAGAAATTTTAAAGATATGCTCATTTTAAAATTATTTTGCGATAGTGCTGTTGAACTTAATTTTATGGTTTAAGTGCGAAGAACATGATATTTAAATAAATAAAGGTAATGCACAAAATGTTTTAAAAAAACGCCGATTTGGGCATAATGTAAAAATCTGAAGGCTTTTATTCTATTTTATTTATTTATTTATTTTTAATTTCATTCAGTTTTAATTTATTTTATCTTCCTGGAGCAGCCAAAAAGGCTTTGGGATAAGGATGCAGAGCCTTTAAGAGCTCCATTTCGCACAGACATTGAAACGCTGATCTAGAAATTTAAAGTTTATGAAATTCTTGGAATATTTTTGAGATTTTTACTAGAAGATTTTTTGCGGAGTAGGGGATAACTGATATCTATAGTAATTTTTAAAGTTTTTTTCTTTGTTGTTGCTCTGATAAAACAATTCCTTTATAAATAATAAAATAAATTTACTAAATAGAAAAAGAAATAAGATTTACTAAAAAACAAACAACACAAAAAAAAAAAAAAAAGATTTATTTATGTGTATACAGTGCATAACATTATAATAATTTGGAAGATGGTAGTCACACTCAATTCACATATACAGAGTGACCCTAAAGTCTAACTATTAAAAAAAACTTATTTAATGCTTTAATAATAATGCAGTTGCACTGAAGTACCTAAAATTCTAGATGCCACCTAGGAATTTTATATTGTGGAAATGTTTTAATTACAAGTGTATGTGCCCTAGGCCTAGTTCCAGCATTTTTAGTTGCCCTAGTAAGGGATGAGAGTGATTGATGCTTTGTATAAATTTTAATTATTAATATTTTAAATCAAAATTTACCTTATATAGTTAGCTGAAAATATACGTATTATAAATGAATTTCACATAAGATGAAGTCTTCAGTGATCTCATTGTACTGTAATTTTTAGTAGTATATTTGATAGATGAAGATGCCATCTATCAAATTTAATTATTTAATGATAAAATTATTTAAGGCCATGTTCAAGTCAAGAAAATTTGAATTTATTAAATAATTTTTTTATCAGTTTCAACATAGAAAAACTTTTCTATTTGATGTAATTAACACAAATATGTCTAAAACAAATGTTGGTAAACTGTGCTTTAGGATAATTATCTCCTACAAAGTACCCATAAATGTAGGAAGTAGTTTTTTTTTTTTTTTTTTTTTTTTTTTTTTTTTTTCATGTTTCTCTCACTCCAGAAATGTAATCCTCTATGAAATCCAATTCTGTGATAATCTTTTCTACATTAATATTAGACATATGACTGCTTTCT